GATAGAAATAAAGCAAGGATTTGGGTTGCAGAGACCGAGTCACCACCGTGGATCCAGCAGTGTCCTGGGGGTCTGTAGTTGTCCTTGGTGGTGGGGGTCCTCCAGGGTCCATAGTAATTGTCGGAGGTGGGTGTCCCAATGGTCATTACCGTTTCCCCCTTTTATTATGAGTTGGGGGGAATACGTCTGTTCTTAACGTCATGTACTGCACTGGTGGACCAGTTTCACTGACCTTGCAGCCAGCTCTTCAGCTGCATGTCTGTAGCAATTCCTGACACCAGTCCTTGACGTAATGGATGAAAGAGTCTTAACTCCTCCCACCCATCTCTCAGACAATGGACAGTGGAGTCCCACCTCAGCTTCTCATGCCCATCTTTGAGACAGCGGATGGTGGAGTCTGATTTCATAGAATGTTTTCCTTGCAGATGCTCTGGAGTGTGACTCACAAGCCTTTGCAGCTCAGATGGTTTTGCAGAATGAGCTACCAGCAACCCCTTTGTCTGTCCTTTGTGTGATATTATTGAATAAGCTCAAGGTAACTCATACCTTAGAGTAACTACTACTGTAAGTTCCTGCAATCGGTGTTTTCACACTTGTTTCCCATCTGTTAACAGCAACAGAAGTTACCTGTGCAAGAACAGGTTTATCGCTGTCTCACAAGAACATGAAGACAGCAGTGGTGTCAAAGATGTGGAACTCAGAATTTATGTCCTAAGAAATCTTGGGCTCTAACTGCCCATTTTTTAACTCTTCCACACTGATATCTTAGGCACTCTTTAGGATTTCGTTTCTATGTTAATTTCCCATTTGTACTATTGGTATATGAACAATTTGTATTAAAAATGTGTAAAGATTTACAGAATCACAGAATCCACAAGCTGTTGGAAAAGACCTTTCAGACCATCAAGTCCAACCATTCCCCCAGCACTGCCAAGGCCACCACTAACCCATGGCACTGAGGGTCTCATCTACTTGGTGTGTGGACACTTGCAGGAATGGTGACTGCAGCCCTGCCCTGGGCAGCCTGTTCCAATGCCTGAGCACCCTCTGGGGCAGGAATTGTTCCTCAGCTCCATCTAAACCTGCCCTGGGGCAGCTTGAGACAGTTTCCTCTTGTCCCATCCCTTGTTCCTTGGGAGCAGAGCCCAGCCCCTCCTGGCTCCATCCTCCTGTCAGGCACTTGTAGGGAGCCATCAGGTCCCCCCTGAGCCTTCTCTTCTCCACACTGAACCCCCCCGGTTCCTCAGCCCTTCCCCATCACACTTGCGCTCCAGGTCCTGCACCAGCTCCGTTGCCCTTCTCTGGCCCCTCTCCAGCACCTCAATGTCTCTCTCGCATCGAGGGCTCCAGAACTGAACACAGGATTCGAGGTGCAGCCTCACCAGTGCCCAGCACAGGGGCACAACCCCTGCCCTGGCCCTGCTGCCGCACTGGTGCTGATCCAGACAAGGTTGCTGGGGGCTTCTTGGCTGCCTGGGTACGAGCTGCTCATGTTCAGCTCCATCACTCAGCACCCCCAGGTCCTTTTCCATGGGCAGCTTTCCAGGCACTCTTCCCCAATCCAGGAGCGTTGCATGGGGTTGTTGGTGCCCAACACAGTGGTATGTTTACATACTCATTAGGAAAACGTAGTGCTATGCAAATGATAAAGTTTTTGTTCTTACAAGATCTAAATTTTCTAGTAAAGCTTTTGAAATGAGGAAGTGGAAAGCCTGAGCTTTTATGACATTTGTGTTTTGAATTCTTGTGGTTGCACACTAATTTTTGTGTTGATGCTGAAGTAAGAGCTATTACAATATCCAGGAAACTCCAGTGCCCTCTGTTGTGAGTGCTCTAAAGGGAGAGCCATCTGAAATACATGGCTGTGGAAATGCTGCTGAAGATGATGAAAAAGCCTGGCGATAATCTGGTCGTCATTAAGATTAAAGATGAAGATTAAGGGCCCAAATCGGCCATTTGGAGATACGAACTAGGGGACTTCAGCTGATCTCTGTATGCCAGCAGGGCAGCAGGATTTATCCTGGATTTTCTCTTCTGATTTTAACCAATTTGAATGAATTCAGTTTGGAAAGGAGCTCAGTTCTACACATCTCCAAAGCATAATCATTGTTAGCCCATTTAGTCCTGTTTGCAGCTGCAGGTTGGCTGAATTAATAAATCCAAGGTGACATCTTAGTCACATAGTTTGGGCTAATGTATTCCAAAATGTACTTTGTTTATGGTATTTTTAGGAAGGTGGGGATGAGCATTAGGAACGAAGCAATTACCCATTTAAGAATCCGTGTCCTAATTTTCCTGGATTTGTATTAATATATATGAGAAAAAAGATGCTAAGCTTACTCCTTGTCTTCTAAAAGTGACTGTGTTGGACGTGCATTTTGTATGTGATCTCACTTCCTTTCCCTGCATTACTTTTTCTATGTTATTTCTATCCATGCTTACAAAACAGGAAATTCTGATAGCAGTAAACTGAAGAAAACAACATAAATGTATCTCCCTAAATGTCTTAACATGCTAAAACCAAAGAAAGCTTTAAAAGGTAAATTAAAGTTTGTGTAGGTAAATTATATATAAATGTTGTTTACACATGAAACTACCAAAGGGATAAATTGCATCAGAGTAAATCATAATGCTACAAAGTTCAGTGGAGTAGAGGGAATAGCTTAGTTTGGGATGCAGGTGGTTTACACTTACACGTTACAGTTGAGTATCTGTATAGAAGCATATGAATCGTGTGTATGGATGATGTTGTAGGCTGCTTACATGTAGTTTCTTTAGATATGTTCTGTACAGTGTACATCCTTTTTCTGGTGTCCTCTGCACAGCCTTCAGCTTGTGTGTATCAATAGCATCTGGTGTTCAGGTTGCAGGTTCTGGGTGTTCTGCCAAGACAGCTCATGCTGACCTGTAACCTGCTCCATTCAGTCTCCTCCTGAGGAACTCCGTGGGAATGAATACACTGTGTTCTGGATGTGCTGTTCAATAGGCAGTTCCTGCTCTCTGGGGGCATGTGGACCTGTGTGTAACCTGGCAATACAGTGCACCCAGGTGACTGGGGAAAGGCTGTGATGAGCCTTTGCATGCTGCTTAGAACCCAGGTGATTCACCTGTGGAACAGGTACAAATGCAGACCTTCCCTGGAGTGTGACTGTCTAGTAACTGAAACATCATCTGTACCATGCATAGAACCCCAGACTGGTTCGGGTTGGAAGGGACCTTAAAGCTCCTCCAGCTCCAACCCCTGCCACGGGCAGGGACCCCTTCCACTAGAGCAGCTTGCTCCAAGCCCCTGTGTCCAACCTGGCCTTGAACACTGCCAGGGATGGGGCAGCCACAGCTTCTCTGGGCACCCTGTGCCAGCGCCTCAGCACCCTCACAGGGAAGAGCTTCTGCCTAAGAGCTCAGCTCAGTCTCCCCTGTTCTGGCAGGTTCAAGCCATTCCCCTTGGCCTGTCCCTACAGGCTCTTGTCCAAAGCCCCTCTCCAGGTTTCTTGTAGACCCTCTTAAGGTACCTCTCTTTAAACAATATTTGTACTAAAAAATTGAAGAATTAGGTTTTTTTGGCAATGTAAATTCTTTTGCCTTAGTGTTTGGTTGTGTCCACTATAATGTTCAGGTCATTTTTGTATTATAACAAGTTACTCCTCTTTCTGCATTTGATTCCTGACTATAACCCCTTTCCTGTACGTGTTGTTATTGAATTCTACTATACTGCTGTTGCACCACTTTTGCACTTTATCGTGATAGTTCTCAACTGCCATAATGTTCTTTGAAGTTTTGTGTGTGTTGTTTTGATTTTTTTTTTTTTTTCCTCTTTTCCTCCCCATTTTTGCCAGTGGCAGTTCTGGTAAGAGTGTTCTGTATTCCATTGTCTAAATCATTAGTGACAGTGTTGACCGAAACCAGACCCAGCAGACACACACCCCTGCAGGAACCTCCAGCGTGACAGTGAGAACTTAGTAGTTTGAGTGTAGTGTCCCAGCCAGCTGCACACTTACCTGGCAGTAATGTCATTAAACAATGCCATAATATCATTAAATATCCAAAGTTGTGTTGGGCAACTGTATTAAGTGTCTTTGTAGAAGTTAAGATGCTTCACACTGGCCATAACTTTTGAGTTCTGTACAGGGTGTTGTGGGAGAGCTGCACTGATTCTGCATTGTTTTCCCTGAAAAATGGTGGTTGTCACCCTGTCTTGTATGTGACTAATAACTTGGTATATTACGAGGTATTGAAAAAGGGTGACTCATCTGCATTTCCTCAGATCCTTTCTGCTTTGTGAAGGAAAAAGGGATTGGTTTCCTCTTTGAAGCCAGGGGAAAATCTGGTAGTATGGGAGAATACGTGACAATAACTCCAATTAATAATGCCTTTGTTGACAGATTTCACTGAGCTGTAAATAACTGTGAGATAATTTAGTGTGTGCTGGCATGATGGATTTCATATTGCTCATTGTTCTGAAAGTTATGTTCTGGCCTTGTGCCTCATGATAGCTAAATAGCATCATACAGCTTTCCAGTATATAGACATTCGATAATGTAGCCAGACTGAATTCTGTTATTGGTAATTGTCTGCATCAGTGAGAATGATTCCTGATGTCTGCAGTGTGTGTGCTGGGATATTTACATTACAGCTGTGCTCTGCTTTCTGTATTCTGTCAGGGAGAAGTGCAGAGCCAGAGCCACAAAAACTTTCTTCTCGTATTCATTCTCCTGTTATTGTGATGGGTGCTCCCAATTACATATTGCACTAATAGCCAAAAAGGGTGCTAAGCTGAGTAGCTCTATCAGAGACACATGTTTCAAGTTATTGTTTCTTTCTGCCTTTGGCAGTCACTTCTACAGCTCCTCCTTTACTTGTGGAGGGGAAAAAAAAGAAAAGAGGCATGGTGACGAAGACAAGAAGCTGTTATGCTGGCACATTGACTGTATCATTTGTTTTATAGAGAGCACATTAGAGATTAATGTTCAGTGTGTTTAATTTATCCTTTCTTTTTCCAGTAATCCAAAGTCTGCTAATCAGAGGATAAACAAAAAAGTGAACAACGATGCATCACTAAGGATTCAAAACCTGTCTATTTTGGTGAAACAAATAAAAACTTACTATCAGGTCAGTAGTTGTTTCTTGTATTGTGCTTTGCCTGGAATTGTTTTTGAGTATTCTTTTATAGTTATGCCTAATAACAAAAATAAGAATATTTAGAGATACTTCATGGGTGGTGTATAAATCTGGTCACGTTCTTCATCATGGTTAATTTGCAGCTATGGTAGTAGTCTGGAAACACTTGGATGTGAGCAATGATGATCTGTTTATATAATAAATATTCTGCATGTTTGAATACTCATAGTACATTAAGCAGTATCGGTTGGTGTTTTTGAGTTGAAGCAAGTTTTGTGCCTATTAGAGAAGTCATCGCATGTGCATTTAGTGTTGTCATTGGAATCTTTGTAAGAGAAATGTGATGAAATTTATTGGACTTAGAATTGATTTAATTTTCAGGAGGAAACGTCAGTGAGGTGACAATGATCAAATAGGAATTCACAGTAAATGCAGTGATGATCTAATCTAGAGCTGTAAAATGGGCATTGAATTTTTGTGTGTTTTGTGTAATAGGTAAGAGCTGGTACCATCCCTTCTAGCCTGGAGAGAGTGGTGTACACATGGGCTCCCTGTAGTAGAATCATAGAATGATTGGGGTTGGAAGGGACCTTAAAGCTCCTCCAGCTCCAGCCCCTGCCACGGGCAGGGACACCTTCCACTAGAGCAGCTTGCTCCAAGCCCCTGTGTCCAACCTGGCCTTGAACACTGCCAGGGATGGGGCAGCCACAGCTTCTCTGGGCACCCTGTGCCAGCGCCTCAGCACCCTCACAGGGAAGAGCTTCTGCCTAAGAGCTCATCTCAGTCTCCCCTGTTCTGGCAGGTTCAAGCCATTCCCTTTGGGCTGTCCATATAGGTGCTTATCAATAGTCTGAGGTATTGTAAGACTGTTGCAAGGTAGGAATACACTGCAGATATCATCAGTATCCCTTGTAGTGTGTCCTTTAGTGCCCTTCCACACTTCTCTGCTCCTTTTTGCCAAAAGAGCCTACATCTGGGAGAAAATCTTTGATCTGCTTCTGGCAGTGCGTCATGGCAGAGCCTGCACTGATGTATGCTTTGCCTCATGTGTACACACTTAGTGTGTTTTCAGAAACTCCAAAGCACACTGAGAATTCCCAGCTGTCACTTCCTGCAGTGGTCAACCACTGTATGTCTTTCTAGCTCACACTTTACACATATGCATGCTTCACATTGTTCTTTACTTGGCAGCTACTATACGTGGATCTAAGTGCTGCTGCAAAGGCCCATATGCTTCTCTATTTCCTGATGGTAATAATTTTCAACCAGGCATTAGTGTTTCACAACTGGTCGAACACTGGCAAGATTGATCTTACTTTGAATACAAAGCATTCCCTGTGCTGCTTTGGCTTTATAGTATCAGCAGTGCTATCAGGCAGAATTGCTTGCGTTTAGGTAGCTTATCTTGGAATGACTCCAAATCTTTGTTAGAAATGTTTTATTATAGCTTTTTTAAAATAAAAAAAATATCCTTAATAAATGTTAAAATGAGGCACCAGGCCTTTAGTGGTTCAGGTTTGTCCTGCTTAAGTGTGAGCTATATGGAACTGCATACACTTTCCCTCTCTTTCCCTCCTCACTCTCTGAGGCGTGTGAGATGCCAGCCTCCCCACACAGTACAAGTGAGGCTACATGCAAGCACTGCGGGTCTGGTATTTGAGTAGGATTAAAGACATTTAGTAGCCAAACTACAACACTTGTTCAAATGTAAAATTGCTTTTTCCATGTGTTGATGGTCACTCAGCGAAGCCCACATGTGTGCAGGGAGCTTTACACATTGTGGTAGTTCACTGGGTTTGGAGAGCAGTGATGAAGGATGGGCTGTAGGCTTTGTTGCCTCTCAAGCGTAGTGCAGCCTAGCACATGGAGTGTTTCCCCACAGCCACTGTGGTTAGCAGGGTATCATAGCATGCTCAGTTTCAAGAAGGGGTCAAGTTAGTTCCTGTCACCTGTAAAATTACCCAAGGCAGAAAAGCTAGTGCCTGATGGATGCCTTGTAATCAGGCTGAGAGGCCACTCCTAGCCTGGGGTACACGTTGGCAGAGCAGAGGCGTGAGCCCTCACACCTGAGGGCTTCAGAAAGCTGTACAGGTACATTGCTAGGTGCATGTTCTCAATGGGATGCCTGAGATCTGAGAGTAGTCAAACATATAAATAATGACTGTCTTGAGGTACAAGAGTAAAGAATGTCTGGAATATTGCAGTAGGAATAAGATATTAATTGTAAGGGGACTTTTAATTTTTAGCATTATGTTATCCTAACTGCTAAATCTAGAGAGAGACCTTTTTGTGGCCTTTCAGTACTTAAAAGGGGCCTGTAAGAAAGATGGGGAGAGACCTTTTAGCTGGGCCTGTTGCAATAGGATGAGGGGTGGTGGTTTAAACTAAAAGAGAGAAGATTCAGGCTGGATGTGAGAAAGAAATTCTTACAATGAGGGTGGTAAAACACTGGCACAGTTTGTCCAGCTGCACCATCTCCAGAGGCATTCCAGGCAAGGCTGGATGTGGTTCTGGGCAACCTGATCTAGTTGAAGACATCCCTGTTCATTGCAGGGAGTTGGACTAGATAAGCTTTGGATGTCCTTCCCAATCCAAACTATGCTATGAACTTTTTATTGTGAGCTTGTCCGTGCTAGTTTGTTCTATGTGTTTTTATACCACCTGTGGAAAACATTTGTTTAGCAAATTATTCCATTAGTGTGTTAAATATATTTATCAAAAAACCTGCACTTGCACAACATTGAAAATTAGAATGTTATGTGAGATTATACAAGGGTTTTGGTTCCTGTGTCAGCTTTGTTCTTCTTTGTAGTTAGGATTGCAGGTCTTTTTACCAAGGAAGCTGCTTTATTTGCTTTCAGCATCTTACTAGGTCCCAAACGAGTCTTTTGAGCCTGTAGGTGTGTGGAGGTGTTCTCAGCAGCTGATTCAGGAGAACTGATCCCCTTATAAGTTTTGGTGGGCTTGGGAGGTTTAATAGTGAGCCCCATGAGTGCTCTGTCAGCCTCATTTGGCAGATGATGTGCAAATCTTTAATAGAATAAATGCTAATGAACACTACAAGTTTGTACAAGCAGGATTCTGTAAATAGGTTTAGTTTATTTTTACAGGTTAAACAACAGTGAAATATGTGAATTTTGGGACACATGAGTTCCAATTGCAGGTTTTTAATAGAATAAACACAAATGGAGAGGAGTTGCAGCAAGCTTACTGGTGAAGTTAGCAACGTGTGACAGAAAAGGTGGTAGACATCTTTGAAGCAGGGTAAAGGTGTTGTAAGAAGAGGTGATAATGGCATTGATCCTTAGAAGATACATCTTTTGGTTACCCCTGCTTGTGCTGTGCTTCACAATAAGAAAAGCTTTATAATAATAATACATAATGATAAGCATCATGGAATTATTTGGGCTATTATAACAAAACAAAAAAGCCGCCAAGTCCCCACTTCTTAACATACGTAATTTTCATTTGTAGTATCTATAAATACTCATTGAATTCCTTATATTTTACCTGTTCTTTATTGATTTAAAACTTCCTTTGGGGCACTTCATATATGTTTTTTTGTTTGTTTGAAAATTGGCTTTGTTGAGATCTCGGGATACGAAAGTAATGTTTGAAATTCATGATGTTTGAGTAGGTCAAAGCCATTTTCTCCCTTCTCATAATGTCTAAGGTGTGTGCAATCAGAGTATGTGTTTTTCAGTCTAGTATTAATTCAGATATGATTTTTTTATGTACCCCCATTTTCAAGAAGGGGAAATTGGATGACCTGGGGAATTACAGACCGGTCAGTCTCACCTCTGTGCCTGGCAAAGTCTTGGAGCAGATTCTCCTGGAAGGCATGCTAAGGCACATGAAAATCAACAAGGTGCTTGGGGACAGCCAGCATGGCTTCACTAAGGGGAAATCCTGCCTGGCCAATGTGGTGGCCTTCTATGATGGGGCTACAGAACTGATGGACAGGGGTAGAGCAGTTGATGGCATCTACCTGGACTTGTGCAAAGCGTTGGACACTGTCCCACACGACATCCTTGTCTCTAAACTGGAGAGACATCAATTTGATGGATGGACCCCTGGGTGGATAAAGAACTGGCTGGATGGCCGCAAACAAAGAGTTGTGGTCAATGGCTCAGTGTCTGGCTGGAGACCAGTAACGAGTGGTGTCCCTCAGGGATCAGGGTTGGGACCGGTCTTGTTTAACATCTTCATTGCTGACATGGACAGTGGGATTGAGTGTGCCCTCAGCGAGTTTGCCGATGACACCAAGCGGTGTGGTTCAGTTGATACCCTGGAGGGAAGGAATGCCATCCAGAGGGACCTTGACACACTTGTGAGGTGGGCTGATGACAACCTCATGAAGTTTAACCATGCCAAGTGCAAGGTCCTGCACCTGGGTGGGAGCAATCCCAGGCACAGCTACAGGCTGGGCAAGAAGAGATTCAGAGCAGCCCAAGGAGAAGGACTTGGGGGTGTTGGTTGATGAGAAAATGAACATGAGCTGGCTTCAGTGTGCGCTCACAGCCCAGAAAGCAACCGTATCCTGGGCCGCATCCAAAGGAGCGTGACCAGCAGGGCGAAGGAGGTGATCCTGCCCCTCTACTCTGCTCTCATGAGACCTCACTTGGAGCATTGTGTGCAGTTCTGGTGTCCTCAACATAAAAAGGACATGGAACTGTTGGAAAAAGTTCAGAGGAGGCCACGGGGATGATCAGGGACTGGAGCACCTCCCATATGAAGACAGGCTGAAAAAGTTGGGGCTGTTCAGCCTGGAGAAGAGAAGCTGCGTGGAGACCTCAGAGCAGCTTCCAGTGTCTGAAGGGGGGCTATAGGGATGCTGGGGAGGGACTCTTCATTAGGGACTGTAGTGATAGGACAAGGGGTAACGGGTTAAAACTTAAAACAGGGGAGGTTTAGATTGGATGTAAGGAGGAAATTCTTTCCTGTGAGGGTGGTGAGGCACTGGAATGGGTTGCCCTGGGAGGTTGTGAATGCTCCATCCCTGGCGGTGTTCAGGGCCAGGTTGGACAGAGCCTTGGGTGCCATGGTTTAGTGTGAGGTGTCCTGCCCATGGCAAGGGGGTTGGAACTGGATGAGCATAAGGTCCTTTCCAACCCTAACTATTGTATGATTCTGTGTGTTACACTAACTGATATACAGGTATGTGTGATATTACAGGTGATAATTTCTACAGGTGTTTTCCAAGAATATTGTCCTTTTTCAAATTTGGCATAAAATGAGTTGACTTTTAGGTTAGATTTTTAGTTTACAATATGACACCTAATTTGTGCCTTTTGGATATAAAAAAAAGGGGTGGTTTTGGAATACATTGCTTATGAATATGAACATTTTATCTGTTGATGAGAATGTCACTGTGGAAGAACAAAAAGCTGCTGATGGGATGGCATCTGCTGTGAATAAACATCTGGGAACAGGAGGAAGACCATTCTGCTTCAGAAGAATTAGGCTCTGTCTAGACTGGGGATTTGACCTGATTACAGCCACTACTGGCTGACAGGGGCTATGCATTGATGCAATCTATGGAATAGGTGGGCAGAGCTGCTGCTTTGAGCAAACTAAACTCTGCTTGATCATGCAAATAGGGGTTTGTACCTTTATAGTTAGGATTTTGCCAGCATAACTGCAGCAAACCCCCTACTTTTCACGTCCATGTTTTGGCAGGGCCACTGAGACAATGGACATGAAATAGGGGAAATTGATCTTTGGGACTGTAAATGGAACTGAGAGCCAATAAAATAAATCTTATATCAATGAGCCAGCAAGAGAAACATGATCACTCATAACTTAAAGGGGTTTGCTACCTTCTGAGACACGGGCTGTAGTTGACTCGAGATCCGTTAGCCAGCTCATTGCCATGAGAGGGTTTTACAATGTTGTGATGATCTTGCAAACCAGTAAAACAAGGCTTTTGTACAAGTAATTCATAGTTGTAAGTTTGGCTTGTTGTTTTTCTTTTGAATTAGAGTCCAAATAATTAAGTATTGAACATGGGTGTATTAAGACCGGAAACATTTTAAACTACTTAATGTAATACAGTGTATGTAATGTAATTTCTCTTCAGTGATGGTTAGTATTTGATGTTTGTTTTTATTCAATGCATATGATTAAAACAATATTTTAATTAACTTTTGTAGGAGAATTTGCAGCAGCTGATCATGATGTCTTTGCCAAATGTATTAATAATTGGCAAGAATCCTTTTTCTGGTAAGTTTGGTTTTAACTCAGATGAAAATTCACGTACTTATTATACCATTTCACTGGAAATAGCATTCATGTAGGATTGAGCCTTTCAACAGAAGGTTGTGTAAATACTTGTAGCAAATAAGGGGTTTCATAATGATGAGTAACATTTTCTTTGTTCACACCGAGGTCCACACTTTACAATAATGTGTTCTGTCCAAACCTCAGCACTGGCTGTCATTAGGATTTATCCTGAAAGGAAGTGCATTCCCAAGCAACCAGTGAGCCACTGATACAACAAAGTATAAGTTTCATGTGTTCCCAGTTACCACACTTTCAACTTTCTTTACCTGAGCCCCCCCGAGAGAAGAGGCAGTTCAATGCATCTCACATGATCCAAGTCCTAATCCTTGTTTTTCCTTCCCCAAAACTCTCCTGCTTCTCTTGCATCACTACCTGAAAAATATTGCAATGACCTTCTTGCTTTCTCCCCTGAACTGATACTGTCTTCTCCATGCTCCCACCTTCTCTGCTTCCAGCTCTGAGAGTTGCAATTTTCAGACCAAGAAAATTAGCCTGTGTGGACCCAGCTGACTATCCACAGCCACTTGGGAATCTCTGCACCATGCTCTCAATTCCAGAAGCACGGAGCAGACACACCTGGCCTGCATGGAGCCACTATGGATTGGGCAGAATTTATTTACTTGGGTCTAATGTGTCCCAGGTGTTCTACTTCTGATGTTCTAGCACCTCAGCAGAGAGGTTAGGAACTACTCTAACAGGCTGTGTAGCTTCCCCTGGCTGTTTTTATTCATTTAAGATGTCTTATATGCCATGCTTCTGTGTATGTGGGACAAGATTCTTCTCATGAGCAAGAAGCCCCATCTGTGTTAGTTTGCTTTTCAGTTCCAGGGTTCATAACATTGATACTTTCCATATCTCATCTGCATATATGCCATTTCTGTAGGTATCCTGATTTGTTTGATTTTTCACTTGCTGCTTTTGAATATTGCTGCTTTTGCTTCAGAGGTCACAGCCTTTTAAGTTTCTCTATGTGTAGATGCTGTAATCTGTCATATGCGCAAAGAAGTGTGAATGTGGTCTCTTCTTTTCCAAAAGCATAGAATGCATTGTGCTTTTATAGTTTGATTCCAGGCTTTCTTAAGGTTTTCAAAAGCCTTCATGGCTTTGCCTAGAAACCAGATTTAGTGGGAAAACAGATTAAAAAAACCCAGGTCATAGTATTGTTTTTGCAGTGATATTTTTTAGTCTCTTCAAGATGCTGAAACAAAACCTGTCTTAACAATATTTTATCGTGTAAGATGAAGTCTTATTTAAAATGCACTACAAACCCCCACGGAGCTAATGCAGTATTCAGTTGTATACATAGAAATCTGTTCTTTAGTCATGAAAACAGAGGCTTCTTCCTGTTTGGGGACCTCAGCTAAGTCTATGCAGCTTTTGTGGTTTGGCAGCTCGAACCTCTGCTGGTGTATGCCCTGCTCTCCTGTGGGGATGTTACTGGATTTGTGAGAAAATACAGACTTTACTGTAGCATAGCCCACATATTGGAAAAAGAAGTGCTGTGTACACGCAGTATTCCTGAAGATGTTTCAGATTCCTGCCTGGGTTCATCAGAGTTTGATCTGAATCAGAAGGTAGACCTGGTCTCTTGGGTGCCATCCAGAACCTTTCCCCTTTGAAACTTAGGCCTGCTCTTGCAGTGTCAGCTTGAAGTGGGCCTCATCCCTACAGGGATTTTAAAGCTTTTTCCTTTGGTGGGAAGTGTAGTGAAATCAAACCTCAGTGACCTTTTCAGAGACTTGCTGTGCAAATCTGATTGCACCAGGGCCAGTCCCCATAGTAAAAGTCGATTCTCTGATAATGATTTGGATTTGGTCCACTAAAGCTTAGGCTGTAGCTGTGATTTTTCACAGGGATGTCTCCCAGTTTTCCCCCTTTGCGCTTCAGGAATGATTATTAGAGAAATGCCAGAGGATGACAAATTGCAGAAGGCCAGGGCAGGTACGATCTCAGGAAGAGAAACGTGTTTGGCTGTATCAGAGGCAGTTGGCTAACCAGGGAAAATGCAGCTAGAATGCTGGATTTGAGCTGTGGTATAAAAAAGAGGTCATTAGAGACTTGATCAGGAAACATTTCAGTGGAGCTAATTGGCAGGAAGCCAGTTGGAGGAGAGAACTGGAGGAGAAGTGCTACAGACTGTGACTGTAAATGTGAAGTTAAATTACAGAGGAAAAGGAGAAAGAAGATAACAAGGTGAATGTTCTTTAATGGGGGAAGAGGGAGGATTAAAACAAGTTTGTGTTTCTGAGGGAGCAAGCCTGAGGAGGATGGACAGCTACAGAGGGGATGGAAGTCAGGGATAAGAGTGAGTGCAAGGAAGATCAAAGGAGGACAGGGTAGGATAGGGACAAAGTTCAAGTAGCAACTTGGAGGGTGTGGGAGAGAATGATCTATTTTTGTATTTGTAATGGGGACAAAAAAAAGGGGAAGAAAACCGTAGAAGATGCTTGGTAACAGTGGGAAGCTGAGGTTGTTCCAGTATTTTGCCATGTTTCCTCAGGCAATATGGGGAGAGACATGGAAACAATATTCAGGTAGGCTTTTAAAAGGTGGTCAAGAGATGCTGAAGCAGAGTGTAAAAGGAGGAGTTCAGGGATTGCTTTAAAAAAAGGAGAAAAGAAGTGATGAATTTATTAGGATAAATGAATGTAGGATGCGAGATGCTGGGATGGATTCCTTCAACTGCAGTATCCTGGTTAACCTTCATTGATCAAGACAGGCAGCCAGGTGGAATTCCCCTTCTTTAGCTGAAGTAGTGAGCTTCTGATGAAATATGTTCCTTGATGTTTTCTATTTCTGTGCAAAAGGCTTCCCACCACGAGTCTTTGGGAGGCAAGAAGTCTCTATAAATGATTAAGGCTCTCCCATTTGAGCTCATGTTCTTTGTAACCTATTTACTTGACAAACCTCTTTTGGAAAACTTAAAAGTTCCATGTTCATAGGGATTATACACACTTCCCTCTAACAAAAGCAGGTTCAGTCAGTCTTGAAATATACTTAATATTATAATGCACACAGAACTGGAGCCATAAGGAAGGCGGAGAAGCTTAGCATTTATCTTTCATCTCTGCTTTACGGCAGCAGGCTTGACTCTTCACTGAAAGCTAGTAATAAACATTGAGTTTTATGTCCTTTTAGGTGTTTTCTTGATTTCTTTTTAATTTCCACTTTTGATCAAGATTGCCTCATATCTGTAACTTTTTGAGAAGGACTTGACATTTAATTCACTAGCAAAATACTGTGGATCAAAGCAAAAGACAATTTACTTGTGAGTGAATAGTTACATCTATCTCATGTGGAGGTTCATCCAAAATAGCCTTAGTTGACAAGTGTAGAAAAAGATTGCAAGTTGCCATTTCAGAAAGAAGGTTCTGATGAGTTTTCTTTTTGATGCTTATAATCATCATAGAATCAACTAGGTTGGAAAAGACCTTTAAGATCATTGAGTCCAACCATTACCCCTTGCGATCATTGGAGATCATCTGTGATTACCAGCTGTGTCCTTCAAAAGAAGGGACTTCAGTAACTTAGATCAGGTTCCAGAATGACTGTGAATACTTTATTATATGCTAGACATTCGCTGTTTGGTATTTGGACTGAGTGTGACTCTTGGTATCAGGAGTAGTTATACCAGCTGTGTCACAGAGTTTTGCAGAACAGAAGTCAGGTTTCTAGCCAGACTCAGCATTATTATATTTGAGAGCGTAGCTTTTGTCTGGTTAGCTAACAGGAAAATAAACTACTGGCTGAAACTCAGATTATATTGGAGAAAGGATCCTGTTAGGATCTTTTTATTCCTAGATAGCCACATGGATAGTGTTTTCTGTTTCAGTAAAGCTAAATGATATGTGAGCATATAGAATTTAATTCCAACCAGCCCAAGCTATTTTGCCATCCTTAAATTGGTTGCTTTATGGCATTTACATTCTAGATACAGCATATATGTAGTAGCAAGATGAGGATGTTTCAAATGTAAAAAGTAAGAAACATCTTCACTATAATCTGTAAACGGAGTCCTTTAACTTAAGCTTCTTTAGGAGATTAAGATGCTTAAAGCCAGATGTGGAAATATATTTTGATTTTTAGATGTGCAGATTCTAATACAGCTTTAAAAATAATTCAAATGAACTCATCACCCAACTCTTACAGCCTGGGGGTGTCAGATAATTGAAGTACTTGTTAGAACTATCTTGAGATATCTGAGATTACAGTTGAAAATGTGATTGTAGGTCTCCAGAGCACTTCTGAAAATGTCACTCACAACTTCTGCCTTACAAAGGGCTGAAATGCTGTGGGTTTTTCCACTTAAAGATGTTATGGCTGTTAAGCTGTTTGTTAACACTGAAAGTTGGCAGTCGAATGGCAAAAAGGACTGAGTTGAAAGCTGGCAAAATGGGGTTTTATTCATCTTTTTGCTTTCTAAACTAGGTTATCATAAGTTACATGAAAATAAAGAGAAAACCTGGTGTTTTCTGAGGGGTAGGGCAGGAAGCTCAAATTCCTAGTTTATGCCTACCATTTTCTTACAGTTCTGTTTTCCTCTTAGAGCCAGGTACCGAAGAAATAAAAAAACTCCTTCTGCTTTTACTTGGTTGTGCAGTTCAGGTAAGTTTAATGATGTTGATGTCTGTGTGAAATAGTTTTAAGTGTTACAGATCTCTTTTCGTACTATTTTAATGCTTTGACCTTCCTTTCTGTATTGGTACTATTGCCTTCCTGGAAAATACAGATCTTACAGTTAAAACGGCTACAGCATCTCATATTTTATTGTACAAATATAGCAGACTCTATGTACAATTTCTAATAGTTATCAATTGATTAATTGTAATATTGTTATTTACCTGATGCCATAAGGAAAGGAAGAAAATGGTAAAGTATTACTTCCAATTATCTTACTGATAAATCTTACTAATAGTGTTTCTCCTATTTAATGAACTAGTTGGATGAGCTGATGTTCTTACTAGGGAAATTTGTACCATTCAACTAATTAAAGTGAAAAAATAGAGCCAGTTATATGTTCATAACAACTTAAATAATTGAGTACTAAAGGAGGACACTGAAAAAATTCCTGTGGAACTCATTATCATAAAACGTGAACAAGTATCTATTTTAAGAAATCTCTTCCTTGCCCCATTTCAGTATCTGTTTTTTCTTTATCATTTTGGTAGTGTTGAAAGTTATAATTACTGTAACACGGCATCAAACAAGTATTTAGTGGTCTACAAGATTACTGGATAATAATTCAGTAATGGGATATTGTGTCAGCTTTATTATTTTAGCTCTTAGATATGCAAAGGAAGAATGAAAATACAGGTATATATGTAAAAATGTATATAAAATAGATGTCTTTATTTTTAGTGTCAGAAAAAGGAAGAATTTATTGAAAGAATCCAAGGTCTGGATTTTGACACTAGAGCAGCTGTTGCAGCCCATATTCAAGAGGTATATTGGGGTTTTCTGTGCTTTTAACTTATTTGGAGGTGGAATATTGTGTTGTAGGAAGATGAATTACATTTGTTCAAAACCAAGTAAATCAAGTATGTGATTTGCATACCAAGTGGTTTTAGTAAGCCAAAAATGCCCTCATTTTTTAACGTGGTTCACAGAAACATTTCATGATTGAGGGGTTTTTGGCCTACATTGTTAAAGCAGGACCAGGGAGCAAGTTTGTTGCTCCAAGAAATTCTTATTGTAGTTTAGTGAATTTGTCATGTGCAAATTTATTTATAAAGTATACTTCTAATCCCATGTATGTGCTGTGTAATAGATACTAAGTCATAGTCACCTTTTGCTTCTCATTTTGCTAGAAGTACAAGGTGCTACTTTGAAGTATTCCATTACCTACAGTTTAATCTATTTTAAATGGTTTTCCATACCTTGTCTAGAGAGCTTAACCCATAAAGTTTCAGCCTTATTTTCTTTATGCTTCCTTTCTATCTCATAATTTAAAGGGAATGGTTTTTCTCTTCCATTTCATTCCGTGCAGGTAACTCATAATCAGGAAAATGTTTTTGATCTCCAGTGGATGGATGTCATTGTACTGACACAAGAGTATGTTGAACCTCTCTTGAAAAATATGGCATTACATTTAAAAAGGCTTATAGATGAAAGAGATGAGCACTCAGAGGTATGGATGTGGTTTTTTTGCCTAAGAGAAGTATCAGAAATTCTTCTAAGATGATCCAGCTTACCACTTTTATAACTAATAGTTTAATATGTGTTCTGCTAGCATATATAAGCAAGGATTCCTTACTGCCAGAAAGCTGTTTCAGGTAGAGTTGGTGTGCATGCTAGTTGTTGAATACTGTGACAAACTCTGAAAGGTCATAGCAGATGATCTTCTCCATGTAACCAGAGTCTGTAACAACTTCAAATAACCTTCCTCTGTAGCTAGAAACAGAAAATCCAAAGCTGTATCAGCTGAACTTTCCAGGAATCACTAAACAGTTTGCAAGCCATTCACTGAAAGATGTCTGTCACATTACTGTATCCTGTTATACAGGTTTGAACTGGAGCAGGATCCATACTAGGAGAAGGAGCTTTTACAAGCTTATCATGTGGTACAGTCACTGTTCTGTGTGAGAATGAAGAAACAGAAGTGTATTAAATAAAACCTGCAATTTATGGTGGTCCCAGTAGAGTGTGGATATGTTCATGTTCCAGTTATTCCAAATGTTCCTTTGACATCAACTGTCTGTCCAGTTCACAGCCTTAATGAGTAAAACAGAAACTGGACAGTGAGGCCAGACAATGTGTGGTAATGCTTTTCTGCAACAAAAAGGAAAAGTAACTTTAAAACACAAGAGATCTTCATATTAGGATAACACCTTTATTTATAGGATGAACTAGGAATATTCCTATAGGGCTCATGCTTTACTCATTTGGCAAGGATGCTGTTGCTCACTGAACACAGTTTCTTTAGAGATACATGTTTATTCTCATGTCCAAGGAATTCATGCCCTTTCATGACCAAATCCATTCTGACCACTGATAGTTTTGTGGACTTAAAAGGCGAAATATGAGTAGTTTAAGAACAGTCAAATGGTACTGTTAGAGGTGTTTGCTTTTGATTTGCTTTAGGAACAGAGGTGTGTTTTAGGGCTTCTGACTTCTTCTAGGGCAAAACTTTTCCATTATTCTTTGATTAATTGAGGCAGTGAATTATGGCAGTTTCTGACATTAAAGGCTCTCTGAATGCAGTTTTGTATTGCTTTATCTCTTTATTTTTAAAACTCCTTAGACTATCATAGAACTCTCGGAAGAACGGGACTGTCTCCGTTTCCTACCTCACGCATCGGCAGCACAATCACCTTGTGGATCTCCTGGCATGAAGCGCACTGAAAGCAGACAGCACCTCTCAGTAGAGCTAGCAGATGCCAAAGCAAAGATAAGAAGGCTTAGGCAAGAGCTGTGAGTACATGTACATCACAGGAGTGTGTTCAGAATGACAGGGGTTTAAATGTTGTTTATTTCACACAGTAGTAGTTCCCTCTAGACAAATCCTTCGTTCTTTCAGGTGTTAAATTACAGTTTTAAATGCTTTTTTTTTTTGCTTACTGCACCCCAGGAAGCATAGTTTATAATGTGAACATATCTGGGGACCAGTGTGACAAATGCAACTTTTCATCTGTGTTTGTCTTAATTTGTCTTATGAATTATATTAATGTTTTAACCATAAACACATGGAAATCAGTGAACTGGTGCTGTGCTAATTTTGTGCCTTTTGTACTCTGAACTGACTGTGTTTGAGCAATCCCTTGAGCATGTTACAATGCAGTACTGAGCTCTTTGTTCTACATAAACTGTTTGTCTTTTAGAAATACGGCTAATCTAATGCAGCCTTGCCTCTTCTCTTACATATTGCCTCCATATTGTTGTTTCAGAGGCAAGTTCTTTGTGCTTCCTCTGTTGTTCATTACCATTAATGACTGTCTGACTGTAGTTTTAATGTATCTGTGTATATATATGCTTCTAAGACAATAGCTCTGCACTTGAGGCAGTTATGGGGTGACACTCAAGAACAATTACATGGGCAGGCAGGTAGGGACTGAAAGCAAGAGATGTGTCTTCAGCATTCCAGGATTAGTGACAAAAACATCCTTTTTAAAAGGAGATTGTGCTGTAGCGATTCCTGATCAGCAGCATGATTGAGTTACCTGTTTCTTGTTGGAAATAGAGTAAGAAATAGTCATCTGTGGTTCATTCATGGTTTATGAAACATCTTCACTTGTTGCAGATAGGAAGAATTTATCATTTATTTCCTGTCCCCCATCTCTTTGTTTCTTTCTGTGTAGAAGATCCCTTGTCTGCACAACACTTGTTTGCTCATGTCCTTCAGTGCTGTTTCACTCTACAGAGAAAACTGTAGAGTGCCATGCCCCTTTACAGAGAAAAATGAAAGAAAGAAAGGGAATTCTGCCAACCAAACTCCTCTGAATCTCTTGACCCACTGCAAACCCGGATGCAGTGAAACAGACCTTAAGTTTACTGGCAGGAGTGGTCATTTATGTTTAAGGAATATATAGTTTGTAAAAGGAGTAAATTCTATAGCTTGGGTCAGTTACGGTTTCTTAGTTTCCAGCTTTTACATTCATCCAGTTAAGGGCTTGCCCTCTTTTCCTACTGATGGTGACCTCTTAGCTAGGGGTATATTCCCCTCCTTCACCTCATCCAAGTGAAAAATTAGTCCCGTTGTAACAAAGGTCTTTGTTTTTCACATTTTCATTGAAACCTCCTTTTATCCCTGGTATTTTATTGAAGAAAGCTAGTTCAGTAAGTGGGTACTTACTCTGTCTTCATAGTCTTGAAGCAAATCTGAGCAGTAGTGAAGCGTTAGAGAACAATAACTGTCAAGTGGAGAACCTGTTTCTCCCTATAGCAATATGTAATGTTGTTTTAGCAGAAGTCTGTGCAATCTGAACTTGAAATACAAACATCACATCTGAAGAGGTTCAGTATGTAAACCAGCTGGATATAGTTTAGAAACAGCATAAATAAAGAGATTTTTCTTTCAATCCATCATATCTCATGGAGAGAGGAAACTGGTAGAATTAAATGGAAAGTTGAAGGTAGCAGAAGTCAATTACCAGCTCACTGGTCTGCTCTTAGCAGCGTTTGTGATCAGATCATCTCTAGCTGGCTGGGTTAAGTATCTGGTTGATTTACTCAGAGCATCCCCTTCCCCCACTACATCCTGGTCTTCATGAAGAATAGAGGACAAAAAGATAGGGCTCTTTTTTTTCCTGATGTCTGTATTATTATGTGTCTACTGAAATGAGCCCGCCCAGGATATTCTATAAACAGCTGCACCAAGAAAATTAGTGAAAAAATTGCTGTTATTAGTTTGATTGACAGTTAATAGATAGCCTAAACACTGCACACTGCTATGCTCTGTATAATTTAGTACAATCCTCTCTAGTCTGGAGCTGAAGCATGCAATTAGGGCACCAGTGATGGCTCAGAACATCTCACATTTTGCACTCTACTTGAATTCAGTTCGTAAATAAATTTCCTTTATGCATAGCAGTATATTTAAAATACTAGACTTTGATGAATTAACTTCTGTATGTGGCATTTGGTATTAAATGCTGAGTGGATTTGATAAATTTAAAATTAGATTCATTCCAGAGTTGAAAATGTTCAGCTGAAAACCTATTTATAATCTGGTTTTGGCAATGAACCTGGTTTAAGAGGCACTGCAGCTAATACAGTTTCATACAAAGGGTCTGTAAAGATGGTTCTTTCAGTTGGATGCAAAACAGCTATTTGAGGCTTGTAATAGAGAAACTCCAGAACTGGAAATTGCACACCTAATTTTCTATATTGCATCCTGTGTCTTTCTGTGGAGAACAACAATACAGGAATATGGATGTTAATAGGAAAGTTACAGTGATCTAACATAGCAGAGAATACATTTGTATTCCTGTATGGTTTCTGAACACCGATGCAGAGGGAAAGCTCTGGTATCTGCTGTGCACAGTCAGCTATGCATAGATGAACCTTTGTATACTTGGAGGCTGTCAAGAAACATAATTCATGGTGAGATTTGGCTCATTTTTAAAAACAACTGGTCTAGTTTTGTTTAAAACAAATATATTTTTCATTAGTATGGTGACTTTTAGATTGTATTGTATGCTTCAGTCCATTAAATTCTCTTATTTCCTCCTTTTTGTTTCATATTTGTATTCCAGAACATTAAATAATACAGTAACATGTTTGACTATGCAGTCTATCTTTGATAGATCTGAACTATTGGATATGGCAGGTTTTTTCAACAGTGAATACTGGTTGTTGTGAGGTGCAGTTGAACTTTGAACACTGGGTATTCCATGTCTTTGAGAGAATTAAATATTTCCTTTGCACTTAGTGATTCATGAGCTCATTTGTTGAGTATTGAGAAGCTGAAAGTGAAGAATTAGTCCTGTAAAAGTTGTAGGATTCTATGTTTTTCTTATTACAGAGATCTCCATAGACTAAAACAGACACCGTGGTGTTTCCATAAAATTGAAATGCATTAAGCATTTCATAAAACTAAGGTTGTGAAGTTCCTCATTCTTTTAATGGATAAAGGCATCTGAAAACCTTCATTCTTCCTCCCTAGGAAAAATAACAAGAATCTAAAGGTGCTTTGTGAGTTGGCTTTAGCTGCTCTGTGACAGGGTGTATCAGCGGTCACTGTCTGGTTCTCCTGGGAAATATTTGGACCTTTTCACTGTATATTTTGAAATTAGCCTAAGCTGAACCCAGGACACTCACAAATCCTAGTGTTTTGTTGTCAAATGAGATGATGTTTAACCACGTTTTGCAGTTACATCCAACTGGTTTGTGTTTTCTCTTTTAAGTGAGGAAAAGACTGAGCAGTTGCTTGACTGTAAGCAGGAGCTTGAGCAGATGGAAGCTGAACTAAAGAGACTTCAGCAAGAGGTACAGGGTTTGCAGATGTATTGTTTAATAAAAAAAGGGGGAGAAAAAAGTGGCCACCACCAGAACAATTCCCCTTCCTCCCCCCCGCTTCTTTGTCTTAGAAAGTATGTTTTCATGCATTTCTTCATTTTGCACTCTGAACATCAAATCATAGAGTGGCTTGGGTTGGAAGGAACCTTAAGGTCATCCAGTTCCAATCTCCTGCCATGTGCAGGGACACCTTGCACTGAACCACGTCACCCAACACTCCATCCAGCCTGGCCTGGAACACTGCCAGGTGTGGGGCATTCACCACTTCTTTGGGCAACCCATTCCAGTGCCTTACCACCCTCACAGTAAAGAACTATTCCTTATATCTAACTTATAAAATACACGTTTTTTTCTTTACCCTTGTCAGTATTAATGTATATCCCCCTGCATTACCCCAGCTTAAGTACTGAAGCAAACATATTACCCCTCAGCGTGTACTGCCCAGTATTCTTGCCTTTAATTTCTGTGTTTTTGTATTTTCTAGAATATGAATTTACTCTCAGATGCCCGTTCTGCCCGAGTGTATAGAGATGAATTAGATGCCCTTCGTGAGAAGGCAATTCGAGTCGACAAGCTTGAAAGTGAAGTCGGCCGCTATAAAGAGAGGCTGCATGATATTGAGTTCTACAAAGCTAGAGTGGAGGTATAGTAAGGAAAAAACCCACTGAATAACCATCATTTTGTGTTCGGTCTGGCTTTCTCAAAGTTATTTTGATGACTGAAACATTGGGATGTAAAAACGACATCACAGCTTCTGGCTCTGGGATGTATGATAGTCAGTCTTTGTGATAAGTAACAGTTTTTAGGGAAGAGTCCCTGTGTCTAATGGCATGCAGTCTAATTTGAAGTCAGCAGTATTCACCCTAGCTCTAAGCCAGCAAGATCAGTAGGAGCCTCTGTTTAGGATATTGAGAAATCCAAGAAGGAATTACTTAAAATTAGGCTATAAATGTGATAATTCATTTCTCCTCTTGCGGGTCTTCTAAGAGAAGGTAATTTTCCAAGTGTTGAGGAAATAGTGGCTGTACATATAAATAAGCGTAGGATGACTGCATTCCATGGGTAAAATATACTAAAAAGACATACACTGATACCAGCCAAGAGGCACCTACAGTTCTGTCATGAATTAGGAGTTTAGGAAACCAGTCATCAGCATGCAGGATTTTATCAGGCCGTAATTCTGCCTGTAAATGGCCAAATTGTTGGGTGAATGTCAAGGCGGCAGAATTTGTGAAAGAAACATTTGTGGAAGTCAAAACTAATGTAAGTTTAAAGGCATTTTCAAGGTGGTTATTGAAAAAAAGAAACTCTTAGAAAACCTGGAAGAACTCGAAACGAATGCTTGTTGGAAAAATATTATGTTTCCTAGATGTAGTTGCTGAGATACTGGTATGAAGCCCTTTCTTCAGAGTCAAAAAGACTGAAAAGCAAACCCAAGATAGTAGGCTAGGTTGTGGCATGGAATATTTGTACATAACTTCTTCATTTAATGTGGCCCCTTGGATTAGGACCTGGATAGGATCGCAGACGTTCATTCAGTTCTTCTGCTTTAAGCATGGTATTTTTTATATACCCATTCCCCTCCAAATAAAAGCTTGGTGCTAACCAGGGCTTTAGGACCTGAGTGATGAGGTGTCCACAGCCTTTTATAGCAGCTTTTTACAGCAGCCTTTCATACTTTAATGATGGCTTTACCAGTTCTGAATACAGTTCTGAATTCTGTGTTTTCTCTGCACCTTCCAGTGTAGGAACTCCAAAGCAACACCTCAACATTGTGATCTGTGATAACCTCCAGATTCTCTTCCCACTGAACTACTGCCTAGACATGATACAATATCCCCAATGATCTAGTAATTGCATCTGAAAAATGTCATAATACTAATGACCAATGATAGAGCATCCTCTAGAATGAGTTGAAACCTTTAATGAATGTATACTTCATATGTCACAGCATAAAATAGCTACTACTGATACAAGCTGATGATAATGAGAAGGGGAAGACTGCAAAGCAAAACCCAAATATTTTTGATGTTCAATGTAGATCCTTCATCTAAAATTTCTAGTGGCTTTATTGAGAAATAAAGCATACCAAGCAACATGGGAATTACTTGTTTTTTATGGAAAATTAGATGGAGAGTTTTTCCAAGGGAACTGCAGTGTAAAAAAAGCTAACAATGGAGTGTACTGAGAGATGGGTGCATGGTGCAGGTCAAGATGTTGTTTGAGGTTGTTAAAATGTCATGGTTCCCAAGGCTTTTAGCATTTTCAAGATGACCTGTTCTTAGCCTTGTTTGTGGACATTAATTTTACCATCTTACTATGTAATGTGAAATGATCTGATGAAATTGGAAGAAGCTTTCTCAAGATATACCAAATACATACCTCAGTAGCTGTCACTGAAGCATCCATTCTTAGGAGGCTCCAAACCTGCCCTCACACACCACTTAAAAACACGGGCTGGGAACCACATTCCAGCTGTGGATCTTTTCTCAGTGCTCGACATACTTTAAACAAGATGTTGCTATTCAGCACGAGCTCAGTGATAAAGGTCCAGTGCTGTGATTTATGTTCCCAAATTTCCTCAAAGTTTGTTGGCTGTTACCTACATGATGCAGTAGTTTAGCGTACCTGGGGCTGTTGGAAAATCAGGTACTCTTGAGTGGTAAGCATTAGCATGAGCTTAATAATGCATCTTAGAACACCTTTGTGTAGGAGCTACTTGAAAACCATCTTGCATGAATGACTTTCTAAGTCGTGATTGTATCTACTACTGTTGTAAGAGGGACTGAATGCATATGTTTAAAAAACCCAGTAAAGGAAAAGAGAGTAGTGTACAGGATTTGAAATCACTGAAAACATGTCGAAACTGTAAAAACCCCCTAAAATTTGTTTACATGTTTCACAGCTTTTAAGCTCTGATTTTTCAAGCATGCTTGAATGGAGACAGATGTTAATTAGTTGGGTTTGCTTCATAATAATAATTATAAGTTAATATTTGTGTAGGGAGGAGTATGAAGGATAAATATTTATGTGTTCTATTCACTGATCTTTATTTCAGAGTTTGCAGCTGAAGTGTGAAAAGTTGTCTTTAGATCATGAGTAAAATTGCCAGCTATATGTTTTTACCCAATATTATTTTCATCAGATGTCATTTAAAAAATCCTCTATGTACATAAATCAAAGCCGTTTGGGACCTTTGATTGTGGTTGTATTTTAAGAACACGGTTGCATTTCAGCATCATGTCCTGACTTTGGGCTTAAGTAAGTTGTAAAGCTGATTTATGGCCTACAGAAAAATTACTCTCAAGTTTTATCCTCCATAGCCTGCAAATCAAAGACTAAGGAGTTCAGTGTGATAAGATAAATTAGGGACTGAGAAGGAGTATCTCCATCCACCTCCAGTCTTTGACAGTGGCCAATAGCAGATGCTTAGAGGAGAATAAAAGGAAAGGGCAAGCACTTGATGGTGCTTTCCTGTTGTGCTCTCCAGCCTCCAGCTTAGGAAAATCACGCTCAGAGGTGGTACTTTGGGGCTTTCTGCCCTTCTCTTGCACGAGTTAGGTAACTTAACTCTCATACATGTAAGCCTTTTACATCTACACAATAATGTAGCAACAAGCTCCACAATTCAGTTCAGTGGTGTGTGAAGTAATTCTGTTTGTTTGAGCCTGACACCTGTAATTTATATTTGATGTCAGTCTTTTGCTTAGCTGTAGTCCATATATGTGCAATACATCTTTCCAGATCACATCTCAAATCACAGACATACTTATGGTTTGATTGATGAACACCTTACTTATTCCTGTGTGCTTTAGGGACTATTTAATTTCTCTTAAATTATGTAAAATTTACTTTTAATGAAGATTTCATAAGTTAGTTATGTAAAATTGCTTTAAATATGGGGGCTTTATTTAAATAGTCTGCTACAGCTTCCAAATAAATCTTACAGCATTAGCGCAAGCTTTCTAAGGCTAGTTATCAGTTATGATGTGTATCAGCGTTTGTGTGGAAAGGAAATACTTCTGTTGTGAGTTTTTTCTTGTTGCTTAATTCCTGCAGGAGTTAAAGGAAGACAATCAAGTGTTGCTAGAAACAAAGACAATGTTGGAAGACCAGTTAGAGGGGACCCGAGCCCGTTCTGATAAATTACACGAGTTAGAAAAAGAGAATCTACAGTTAAAAGCTAAATTACATGATATGGAGATGGTAAGTGGAGGATGGCAGAGACAACTGATACGCATTGAATTTCATATCCATTTTTAATAGAAGGAACTTCCAGTCCCAATAGTGGGAGAGAGGAGGAAGGAATGTCTTGATTTACTATAACAATTTATAGAGAAGGAAAAATTGCAAAAGCAGTATCTTCCTAAAGGCAAGACAGTGCGTAATAGCTAAAATATGATGATAAGAGTTACAGAGACTCATTAGTAAATATGACAGGATCCATTGGTTTTTTATGTGAAGATAGTGTGTTGTCACTTAAATACTTGGATGCAAGAGGTTATTCAGATTTCAAATGCTGGCAGTATAGTGACATATTTATCAGAAGGTTATTCCCAAAATGATTTCTGGGTTTAACCAGTTCTACTCCAAAAAGTAAATATGCTAATATATAACATCAATTTGATATATTACATATTATAATAAATACATTATCATGTATACTTTGTATGCTTTCTTTGCTGATAGTTGCAGAGAAGTGAACTTTGAAAAAGAAACAAGTAATCATTGCCATAGGTTCTGCTAAATAGAGGTTCTTCTCTGTGTAATTTTCTCTGCTAGTTGCAAGTTCTCCATACTTTTTCACTCCCTGTGTGTCAGGACACCAGAAAATGCACTTTTGCTTTTCTCTGTGGCATTCTTGATACTAAAATACTCTGTGTGTGTTGAGACATCCTTTTTTTAATGTTACATGTGAAATACCTTTTAAGGAGCGTGATATGGACAGGAAGAAGATTGAGGAACTCATGGAGGAAAATATGACTCTAGAAATGGCCCAGAAACAAAGTATGGATGAATCATTGCATCTTGGCTGGGAACTTGAACAGATAAATAGGACTACTGAACTTTCTGAAGGTAAACCTAGTAATGCTTGCAACTTCATAGATAAAATAGAAAACTTGGAAGCTCATTTAAGGTCCTGGATTCTGCAGCACAGATCTTAAGTTATCTTGCTTTACTATTCTCCAAGTTAAAAAAGACTTTTTAAGGCTTTTCAGAGTAATTGTTTGCAGAGGTAGCTATGGCAAGAGTTTTGAACCTTCCAACACAGCGTGCTTGGTCATTCATTGGATCCAGACAAATTATTTGTGGAAATGTAGAGATATATCCTCAGTTGCAGGAGACAAATCTCTGCTGTAATGAAGAGCATCAGGATGAGTAGAACATTTCTGTTCATGCATCTACAGTGTTAACTGTTGGGTGAGGAGGGTGGGTCATTAATCCTGACTAGCCCTATTCACCAAGAGTGCATTGGAGGACTGTTAAAAGCTTCAGCCCCCTAAGCCTAAAACTGAAAAGTCCCAAGAATTCGAGGTAATAAGTAATCTTTTTTTTAATGGCGTTTTTCTCTTACAGTGCCACAGAAATCACTTGGTCATGAAGTGAATGAACTGACATCAAGCAGGTTACTGAAGTTGGAAATGGAAAACCAAAGTTTGCTGAAGACAGTGGAAGAACTACAAAGTGCAGTGGGTTCAGTAGAAGGCAGTAGCTCAAGGATCCTGAAAATGGAAAAAGAAAACCAAAGACTTAGCAAAAAGGTAATAATCAGTGCCTGGTTTGAACTGTGTATGAGTTACTTGATGCTGCTTGCTGTTTTATGAATTGCTGTTGGTTTAGGTAAAGTATTAATGGAGCCTGAATAGTGTTTGTAAGTTTATGGTAAAAAAAGAAAACCACCTCAGAGGTTTTTGTGTTTTCTGGGTAAGGTTTTTCATTGATGTAAGTCTGTGACCATTTTATTCAGAATGGTGTTACACCATTGGGGAAAAAATCACTGACATATTGGGGACATGATAAGTAATGAAAGTATTTTAAGATACTTGATAACCTTATATTAATTTCTGTAATTATTGAGTAGGGGAAATTATGTGCGTAGGGGTGAAGGGTGATAAGGCTAAATGGAAAACTTGGTCATGTATCCTCATTCATAACTGGGAAAGTGAGAAGATGGGCCAGGGAACTGATGAGCAAGTGAATTAGAGGAGTTTGTCAGATATATCTGTGCTGATCTACAATATTTTACTCTCCAAATTATCTGTATCAAGTAGAGTCATTTAGTGATATTTATAGAGAATAAAAAATGGGAATTAATTACAGCAGAGTGAAATGAAATAGCTTTTTCTTCAGCAATATTTCAGATGTTAGACTATTCTTGGAGTGGGAAAGAGATCATTAAAAATCCTAAATTGAAGGAAATCCCTCATGTATTCCATGCTCCTGTGCTTTTCCTGATTTCTTAACAACATGGTGGGTTTTGCAGCGGCCTCTGTGATGCTTTGGGTTTCTGCGCAGTACCGGAATGAAGCTAGGAGTGTGCAAAAGAGGGAATAGGTATATGAGGTACATTATGTAATATATATATATATATATATATATATATATATATATATATAAGATGTAGGTATATAATGTACAAGAAAAGTTGGGGCTGTTCAGCTGGAGAAGCTGCGTGGAGACCTCAGAACAGTTTCCAGTGTCTGAAGGGGGCTCCAAGGATGCTAGAGAGGAACTCTTCATCAGAGACTGTAGTGATAGGACAAGGGGTGATGGGTTCACACTGAAACAGGGGAAGTTCAGGTTGGAGATAAGGAAGAAGTTCTTTATTGTGAGGGTGCTGAGGCACTGGAATGGGTTGCCCAGAGAAGCTGTGGTTGCTGCCCCATCCCTGGTAGCGTTCAAGGCCAGGTTGGACAGAGTCTTGGGTGACATGGCTTAGTGTGAGATGTCCCTGCCCATGGTAGGGGGTTGGAACCGGGTGATCTTAAGGTCCTTTTCAACCCAAACCATTCTCTGATTCTATAGAAGCAAGCAATAGTAGATTCTTGTGATTTTCTGACGCTGTTCCTGCCACTCTGGATGTCTGGCAATGTGTCCTTTTCCTCACTTGCCCCTAGAAACAGTGTTCTGAAAGGTGATCAATTCAGCAGAAAGCTTGAAGTAGAACAAAATGTGTTCTGAATCCTGTACACATAGTCTGCTTCTGTCTTCTCCTTTGCAAAAAACAGTGAAAGTGCCAATATCCCTATAAAATGTGCACTGGCCTGCTAAGCAAGGGACCAGGAACATCTGAGTTTGAGGGGAAGAAGGAGAGGGAAGCAGAAGACTGGTCAAACATTAGTATTCTCATCTCAAGAGAAGGATTTTATTCAGGTTCCAGCCTAATTGTTGCCATGCTTTTTGCAAGTTCCATTCTGCTACCTTTTGTGATTTTATTTCTCTGTATTCTTTAGCAGCAATATAATGCATGATTCAGATAACTTGTTTCAAAATGTGTTCCCCTGCCTGGGAGCTGAGTTATGTCTGAACTCCTCTAGGATCGGGTAATGCATCAATGGACTTGAGTTAGCATATGACCCTTCCAGCAGATGATTCTTTAAAAATACAATGTGTCTGTTGCTTTTAAGCGACTAATTACAACTTATACCTGAGAGAAAAATCACACTTGTCTATTTTCACTTATGAGCAGTTTTGTTGTCTGGCAGCTTTGCAGGCTGGAACCATTCGCCAGAGCAAACCTCTGTGTTTAATTCCCAAGGAATCATCATAGTATCTCTTGAAAGAGTTAAGTAAAATTAAACACTCAACCCTTGTCAGTTAAAAGGGACTTGGAGGAGCAGTTCAAATCTCACTAAAATGGAATTTTAAGAGAAAGAAAAAGATGCTTGGAGAGGTATCCAGAGCCTAATAAAATCTGATGTTTTTCTTATGCAAAAGTACTTTATAGATACAGACTGAGCCAGGGAAAAGTCTGGCAGAAAGAAATTTACTCCTAGAAGAGATGAATTGTTTCAGATAAAGAATAGAAAATTCCATGTTATTCTTAACTTTAACCTTTTTATTCGTTTTTATAAGAGTACCTCCAGCCCAGCTCAGAGCAGTGCTGTTGTCATGTGTAAGTACGCTGTAAAAAGCTTGTTTCTTTTTCCCTAGCTTGAAGAGCTAGAGAATGAAATTAGCCAAGAGAAACAAAGTCTTCAGAACAGTCAAAATCTGAGTAAGGATTTGATGAAAGAAAAAGCACAGCTTGAAAAGACACTTGAAGCACTTCGAGAAAACTCAGAGCGCCAAGTGAGTAGCAGAATTGAAAGTCTTAATGCTGCATTGCGCTGTACTGTTCTCTTCCTGTGCTTTTTTACAGGCATTCAGGGATTGTCAATGTAGCAGACTTGCCAAAAGGACCTATCTGCAGCAAAATAGCTTGTCTGAGACCTGCAGGCACTGAGAGACATGACTCATTTTTAGCTGAGGCTTGACTGTTAGTTTTAGAACTCTCTTAGTGTTCCGTAATGCTGCTGTGGCTTTCGTGGGCTGTGCATTTGCTGTGGTTGCTTAGAGGGCGTAGCTCAGCCAAAACAGAAAACTGGGAACTTTGGAGGTAAGCCAGGCACCTCTCAATGGAGGAAAACAGGTTCCAGACAGCTGGGCAGTGTTTGAAGTAATGCTGGAGTACTAATGAGAATTACAGCAGCCTGTCCCTCAAAGGGACCAGACCAGTGTAGCAGAGCTGCTCTGTTGCTGACTGTTCCTCCTGTGTCACCCATAGTCTTGTTTGTTTGGGGTAGGATCCCTCATACCCAGCTTCATAATATTCCCTATACTGGAATGTTTTCTAGCTGTGGCTTATAGGTGGATGGCAGAATGTATTTTTGGTCACCAGAAACTGGGTCTTTATAAAAGATTTGAGCTGTATTTGGGAGTTTTCTGGATGTCACTGGTTTTCCTGGGTCTAATGGGTGCTAACGCCTTCTCAAGGGCTTTGCAGAGCAATTCAGGGGGCCTGTGGAAGGCAGTCATTAGGACACAAGAGTTACTGAAACTTCTGGAAACCCCATGTTTAGTAATCAAGTCCTTCAGAATCAGAACTGCAGTTACCTTTTATACATTCCACTGATCCTTCTTGATGAGATCAGCATCTTTTTAAAGTACAGCATTATGAAATACAGAATGTTGTATTTCAAAGATCCTGATAGATTTAAAGGCCCAATTTAATCAGTAAATAAAATTCCAGACATAGGAAAGAAAGGAAAAAAAGCTTGGCATTGAAGCTTTACTTTCAGTTAAAGAGAACAGTAGGGATAACTTTAAAGAAAATAAGCCAGCTTGTCTTGTTTAGAAGTGTTAATTGCTATAAAAGTTGATTTATTCATTGTATTAGAAGTGTACTCCAGGGAGAAAAGAGCTAAGACTTTCTGGAATAAGTCCTAAGTCCCAATTCAGCCGTACATAAATTGTTGTAAACGTGTTGGAGTAGGACTGACATTTCAGTGGGACTGTTTCTGCTTAAAACAACATACTTAGGAGCTGTGATGGGTTAGCAGCATCTTTCATGTCTTTTACAAATCCTGTGCTGAAACTTCTGGGAGTCAACTCTACAAGGTTTATTGGATTTCATTATGGATGCATTGATCATGATTTTTTGTTTAGTTTGGATTCTAGAGGCAGAGTTGATGGAAAGGAATTGTTCATGTGCAGTAACATAGAAGAGAAACTGCGTGAAGACCTCAGAGCTGCCTTCCAGTGTCTGAAGGGGGCCTACAAGGATGCTGGAGAGGGACTCTTCATTAGGGATATGTAGTGATAGGACAAGGGGTGATGGGGTTAAACTGAAACAGGAGAAGTTCAGGTCAGAGATAAGCAGAAGCTCTTCCCTGTGAGGGTGCTGAGGCGCTGGCACAGGGTGCCCAGAGAAGCTGTGGCTGCCCCATCCCTGGCAGTGTTCAAGCCCAGGTTGGACACAGGGGCTTGGAACAAGCTGTTGTAGTGGAAGGTGTCCCTGCCCATGGCAGGGGTTGGAACTGGATGATCTCAAGGTCCTTTCCAACCCAACCCATTCTGTGATTGTATGAAAGTTGTGGTTTTAGACACGTGTTTATTAGTTTCTAGTTAATGGCTTCAAAACAGTTTGTCATTGCTGGGATGGAGCCGTAGACCCTGTAATTAATAGTTACATTCAGACTTGAATATGAAAGAATAGTCTATAATTTTCTCAGGCTGTTTCTCAGAGCAACCAGCACTTCTGCTTCTCTCCCAAGCAGTTTATTGTTGAAGCATCCTTTATGCTTTGTTATTAGTGTTTCTTTAAATATAGGTCTAAACAAATTGCTGGATTTTGCTCTCTGTTGTTACATACCCAAATAGTTTCAAGTGATTTGGAGTAACTGGAAGAGTCAAGAAATACTGAAATACTGAAACTGAAGACATAAATTCAGCCTTTATCCTTGTAGTAGATCTGGGAATATGTTGCTTAAGAAAATAATTCAGTTCCAATATGATTTACTTTCTCTGGAAGCTGTTGTGGAACATCATGTCCAAGGGTTCTTTTTAACTCAAAACTTAATGGAACTTTGCTGTGTTTCTTCCCCAAGTGTTACTGGCTGTGATCAGGATGCCCTCGTATCCCACAGTACTTTTTCCAAGTGAAATAAAGGCGCTTTTGTGGCTCTCACACCTCCCTCCACGTCAGGTTTGGTTCAGAACTTGACTGCAGGTTTGTTTTTTGTGGCCACACATCTCTGGGAATTAGAGTTGAAGAGAAATAATCCAAGTCTGGTAAACACCAATGAAACTGAAACGATGCTGAGAAGCAGACTGAGCTTTGTTTTGCTTTGTGCTTATGTTAGTTTTGGTTTTATGTTACCTACTAATAGCCAAGAGGAAGAGACTTGAAGATTCACTTTGACTTATTTTGTTGTCAAGCCTGCACCTGTGTACATACACAGTGTGTATAAGTTTCAAATAAATATTTTAATTCAAATAAATAGAGTAAAAGGATATTTCTTGTTTTAACCTAAAATGAAAGAGAAAAATGGTGGAATCATTTACTCTTAGTAGCTTTCCATTTATATATGGAAATAATTACTTGTTGGCATATTGCTCACCAGAGTTTACTGTTTTTCTACCCAAATTAGATTAAGCTGTTAGAACAAGAAAATGAACACTTGAATCAAACTGTAGCTTCTCTAAGACAACGCTCCCAAATCAGTGCTGAAGCCAGAATGAAAGAAATTGAAAAGGAAAATAAAATCCTTCACGAGTCCATTAAAGAGACCAGCAGTAAGTTAAATAAGGTTGAATTTGAGAAGAAACAAGTCAGGAAAGAACTGGAGCACTATAAAGAGAAAGGGGAGAGAGCAGAAGAACTGGAGAATGAGCTGCATCGTCTGGAGAAGGAAAATGAGCTATTACAGAAGAAAATCACTACCTTAAAAATCACTTGTGAGAAGATTGAGGCCTTAGAACAAGAAAACTCAGACCTGGAAATGGAAACCAGGAAACTGAAAAAGACTTTGGATAGCCTGAAAAACCTCACTTTTCAGTTAGAATCCTTAGAAAAGGAGAATTCGCAGCTTGATGAGGAAAATCTAGAGTTAAGAAGAACAATTGAATCCTTGAAGTGTACAAGCATTAAAGTGGCACAGTTACAATTAGAAAACAAGGAGCTGGAGAGTGAAAAGGAGCAACTTAAAAAAAGCCTGGAGCTGATGAAAGCCTCATTTAAGAAGACGGAACGCTTGGAAGTCAGCTACCAGGGCCTGGACACAGAAAACCAAAGGCTACAGAAAGCCCTTGAAAACAGCAATAAGAAGATTCAGCAATTAGAAAGTGAATTGCAGGATTTGGAGTCTGAAAATCAGACTCTGCAAAAGAACTTGGAGGAGTTGAAGATCTCCAGTAAGCGCTTAGAGCAGTTGGAAAAGGAGAATAAGTTGTTAGAGCAAGAGACTTCTCAACTGGAAAAGGATAAGAAACAGCTAGAAAAGGAAAATAAGAGGCTTCGCCAACAAGCAGAAATCAAAGACAGTACTTTAGAAGAGAACAATGTCAAGATTAGTAACCTGGAAAGGGAAAATAAATCTCTATTTAAAGAAATAGTTGTATATAAAGAGTCGTGTGTGCGCCTGAAAGAACTAGAAAAAGAAAACAAGGAACTCGTGAAAAGAGCCACCATTGATAAGAAAACCCTTGTCACTTTAAGAGAGGTAAAGAGAAATCAGTTACCTCCTGGCACGACCTGTTTGATATGTGAAGAAATGATACCTGTGTGTTTGAAAAAGATCTTGTGTTTTGTAGTTTCTGTGCTTTAATCTGTATACTGATAGCATCCGTAATGGGTACAGTAAGGAAAGTGTTAGACAATCAGAATTTATGCAATAATAATAATCAAATGGAATAATAGAACCATATTACACTTAATTCTGTAAGGTTGCTTGCAGATTGTCACGGAGCCTTTGTTAAATGAATGTTGTTCAGATGCTTCATGTTAGTATTGGTTCTGGCTGAAACCCTTTCTCTTCACTGTAATGTTCAAAACCAAGTTGGAAAGGGAGCTCCTACAGCAAGGAAGGGAGTGAACACCTAGGGTGAAGTCATACTGTAGCTGCAGTGTGATGTCTGGTCTAGCTGAATGGGAAGGAGAGTTACCATTGAGTTATTCAAGTCATGTAGCCGCAAAAGACTCTCGTCTCGGCCCTTCTAGGATTAAGAGTGCATCGTTTTATTTACATGGTAATTCTGACTGTACCTTTCTCTGTGCAAGGACTTGGTGAATGAGAAATTGAAGACTCAACAAATGAACAATGATTTAGAAAAACTGGCCCACGAACTTGAAAAAATAGGCTTAAACAAGGAGCGCCTCTTGCATGATGAGCAGAGCAGTGATGACAGGTGAGGATGTCAGGGCCTACCTGGAGCAGGCAGAAACGAGGCTCTTTTTTACTCATAAAGTAGTTCTACAGACTGGTTTTGTGCATACTCTTGAGATTTTTTTAAAGCACATTGATAGACCCAAATTGGAACTTGCTGTTCTTTGAAATAATAAGGTAGTTGATGTGCTCTTCCATTCAGCTGTCTCTGAAAGAGAGTTGGCACTTTTTGTTTCTTGAAGTCTGTCAGTACATAGAGCTAATGTGTAATTAAAATGCTTTATGTTCAAGTTAGCAGCAGGAGCAGTGGCAGTAAAAGATAATAGAACCAAAGTGGGCTTTTTCCTTCTTGACTGCTTGACTGCTAGAAAGGGTCTTTACACTTTGTCACGCAGTGGTTACCTTAAACTGTCTCACTCTTTCCTTCCACTGTTTCCTTCTAATTCTTCCTACCAAAAGGAAGCTGCTTTCCCACTCAGACTGGTTGGGAAGTGTCCAGTACTTGAGTGTCTCCAAAACTTCATAGTGGCTCAATCACTCTACCACACCTGCCATTATAAAGCAGCTGCTATCCTGACATCTGTTTCTTCTGCTGTATGTTGTGCTCTGTCTTGTCCTGCAGGGATTTAGGGAAAACTTGTGACAGGAGAAGAGCAGACTAGCATGGGCTTCTAGCCAAGCTTTATTTCGGGATGCTATTCAGTTGTGCTATTGAAGAACAAAAGAAAAGCTGCTGTCATGGTCTGTCATTATAACTGATTGTCATGAGCATTTAGATTGATTTTGGGTCTTCTACATCAAAATATCTGTATCTATATCCCCCCCACCACCCAATCAAAATCAGTTTCTCTTTCTTGCTGCCAGTGCTCTGTAGCTGGGGTGGTGCCAGGATCCTGTATGAAGAATCTGTTACCACCTCTTGTTTTGTGCTCGTGTCTTTCATCCACCTTTATCAACTCACAGACCAGAAGTTCTGTCAAGAAAAGTCCCCAGAACTTGACTAGTGAGATCTCTTCTGATTTAAGCATCACTGTGTCGCACGAATGTACCAGACAAAGAACAATCATTGAGCTGGGTTGAAGCTTAAACTGCTTAGATGAAGAAGTCCAGATTGAGCAAGGTTTTCCTAACCCATATTCTAGATTCCAAGTGGTTGGAGTGAGTGCTCCCATAAAGGGAGAGAATGTTGTTCTGTGAAGGTGCTTTTGTAGATTATACTACATGAAAAAATGTATGAGGCTACATCCCCTTTCCAGACAACAGCATTTGTCCTTTGCTAGTGCTCATACTCCTAAAGATCAGCTGGTGTGGGTTCACTTCTCATAGGTGAGCTGGTTTGTGACATTGGGCCATATAACACTGGTGTTTCCTTGATGTTCTACCAAATGATGTTAACATTTGATCTATAAAGTATAATTTGGAAGAAAATTTGGAGTTGCATGTCTCTGGAATGGGGAGTTTCATCCAGCTTTCATTAAATTACAATCCATAAATGAACTTTCAACATACTTCTGGCACATATCATGACCCGTTTCATTTCTTCCTTTGCTTCCAGGTTATCTGTGTGTGGGAATTACACAAACAAGTTGATTTTCATTCCCTCCACATCCCTGTATTTCTTTTCTAATGGGTATTCCTTTTGCAAGGAGCTCCTGCACCTTTTTTGCTGTGTTATGTATTAAGAGCAGAGCCTGGGGGCAGGCATTGCATGCTGATTGACCTGCACTTGGCAAATGTCTGCTGCTGGCATTAGATCTCCTGTAACGTGGTGCTGCTCAGCTGCACTGCGTAAGAACAGCTCATGCCTTATTCTATGCAGATTGCCTTGCAGCAGGAGATAACGCCTGTCTAGAGGGGTGTTCATGGTGAACTGGTTGTCCAGCACTGACCATGTGAAAGCACCACAAAAGCAGATGGAATATTTGATGGTTCGTGATATTTGGCCATCAGGCTGTTTGGGTGTGATGTGTCTGTTCAGCCTGATCCAAGGTGAGGTATGTGGGAAGCAGATCTTGAAGCTTACCTGGGACACTGTTTAAAGCCTATCTTTGAGCTCAGGTTTGTGGCCACATTGTTTTAGATGTGAAGTGATGTGGGCTATGCTACGGTTTTCAGCTTCTCAAACTTCATGTAGAGTTGGAGGTTGTGAATGGGCAATATTTGTTTTCAAAGTGGAAACATGGGTTGAAGTTTTGCTCTGCCACTCTCCTGCCTTTCCATTATTCTCTACTTCCTCAGTCATCCAAAAGGTACCTGGGTTTATTTCCTTATATCATTACATATGTGAGGCATTAGCGATTATTTCATCACGTTCATTATGGCCAAAATGACTTCTCAGTGTATTTTTGGTCTGCCTCTCTCATGTTGGTGATGGGAATTAAAAATGCATTATTTCTCTCTTTTTACTTGGAGAAAGCTGCTTGTGGTTTCTGTTGGATGTTCTTGGTAGCACCTACTACGTCTGATGAGTTATCTTTGATGTGTTTTCCATTTTCTCTTCCCCTTCTAATGGCTGTTGTCTTTAAGCAAACAGATTCATGGATGTTGACCCTAAATCTAAAACAGCCAAATCTCAGTGGAGTTAGAAAATTCATCTTTGATTATGAGGTGTTCAAAAGGAAACTGGGTATTGGCTCTCTGCTATTAGTCTTTTTCCTTCTTTGTTTTCTATGTAATGTATAACTGAATGTATGCTTCAGCTCAAAAAGATGAAACACTGTCTGTTCTACTTGTCATAGACTGCCTACTGTTTCTTGAGTCGATGAGAATTACTTGTCAGACCTTAAAATGCAGGATTCTCATCCTACTACATGATGCTACTGGACAGCTCTCGACTTATTAATCCTCTTACCATTGGTCTTCTGCTCCAGTTCCTGACTAGATCTAATGCTCTTGTCCATTCAGGAGTCTTTTGCAGTCTATTCCTTTCACTAAGCTGATAGATTCTTCAGCAGTCAAGATTAAAAAGGGGGATATTAGTGGTTTGCTTTATTTAATCCTACTGTGGGGAGAAGTGGGATGTTTTCCAGATTCTGAGCACATGTACAGAGAATGAACTGCTTAAAAGTGATTAATGAGCGTGGCTTTTAGTGTTTTCTAAAAAGGAGATAACTGTTCTAAAGGGATATATTCTAAATCTGACCATTCCTCTCCCAAATATGTAATTAGGGGTTTTTAGGTGCCCTAAAATATTATAAATATAGTAAGAAAAATGGCAGCTTTACACACTGGGAGTGGTAACAGTCTTAAAAATAGCAGCAGCTGGGCTGAGCGAGCAATTTGCACACTCATACATCAACTGAGTATGCACCTGCAGAGTGCTGCGTTCATCTCCTTCCCTGCTCCTCCTCTTTGTGAGCCGGCAGGAAATGGAAATTGATGAAAATCTTGCTCTCCAAGTACTTCACATCCTAATTTAGATCAGGTCCCCGCTGGATTCACTGGAGGGGAGCCAGAAAGAAGAGTGCTGTCATCACACACGTGCTAATGATCCAAAGCCAGTGCCCTGCTGCTGTGGCTCAACGGGGCTTTTTGTCCCTCTGATAGGTTTTAAAAGAAAGAAGGATTCAGAAATGGGGTTGACTCTCATGTTCTGGTGTTTTAAACATAGGACTTGCTATCACTCCTGAGGTGTCTTCATGCTTTTGAATAGAGCAACATCCAAGCAGTTTTGCATGTAGCTTTGAGATTACTGTTTCAGAACAGTTTAGAATTGAGATACCTCAAATAATCCTTTAAAATACAGACTTTGTGTGTGTGTGTGTGTGGTGTCATTGACCAGTAGGTACAAGCTTTTGGAGTCAAAGCTAGAATCCACACTTAAGAAGTCTCTCGAAATAAAAGAAGAGAAAATTGCTGCTCTGGAGGCACGTTTAGAAGAGTCAACAAATCTGAACCAGCAGCTCCGTCAGGAACTTAAAACCGTAAGAGAATGGTGATTTCTTTCAATAAGATTAAATTATTCCCATTTCAGTTATTGTTATTTCCACACTCAACCTTGTGTGAGACAACAAAAGGTGGGCACCGTTCAGGTGATGTAAAGCAGGACAAAGGCGTGACTGCATTTTAAGACTGCAGTGGTGCAGGCCCAGTGTTGAAATCACACGAGAAGCTGCTGAGTGTATTCATTGGTCACAGAATGTGTCAGGTGGATGAATAAGCCAAGGCTGATTTGATTTGGGATGTCAGAAGTAGTAATTTTCAATTACGTGTTCTGATCTGAACATGCCATGAGCAGCCCAAGTGGGCTGGTTCAAAACTGAAATGCAGTCTTGTTTGTTGTAGGACTTTATAGTAAGTGGGGGGATACAGCTGAAAGCACCGAAATAAAATAGAAAATAGAGGTCTTTTTCCTTCAGAAACTCATTAGGGTTAAGCTATCCATATCCATAAATATCTTGTACGTCATCTCCCCAGTCACATACAAAGAGCAGATCTACCAACACAGTGATGTAGCACTTTCTGTTCTTTGAAAGACGGTATGCTCATGTAGTCAGTTAGGATGTAGAAAATGGAAAAGGCTGAACCTCATGTAAGTTGTCCTAAATCATTTCAGGTGAAAAAGAACTATGAAGCTCTCAAGCAAAGACAAGAAGAGGAAAGGATGGTTCAGAGTTCTCCTCCGAGAAGTGGGGAAGAAAATCAGTCTGTCAATAAGTGGGAGAAGGAAAACCAGGAAACGACTAGAGAGTTATTGAAAGTTAAAGATAGATTAATTGAAGTGGAGAGGAATGTAAGATGTGTTTTAAATACTACTCTGGTTTAGGTATTTATTGTGAGCTGTTCCAGTAATATAAATGAGAGGATTTTTAAGGAAATATGCAATTTATCACCTACTTTATGATCCAAGCAGAATCTGAATTAAATATAGTTTGTGAAGCAGCTGGATTCTGCTGGATTCTGTTCTGGATTCTGCTGTAAAGCACTTGAGCAGTGTATAGAAGCAAATGTGGAAACCTGAATTTGCCCTTTTGAATCCACAAGTATCTCTAAATCCCTCTTATATGATCTTTGTTTAAATGAGTCATGGAGATTTCTCTACTGTTTCTCCATGGGTACAATATTTGTTACCTATTTTTTCAGTCTTAACCTGTAGTGATAATATTGCTGTGTTACTTGGTTCTACAGGATGATTTACACACTGGAACAGAACTGTAAATCTCTGTGAAGTCATGCTGCTTTGTTTGTTTAGAAGAAACAAACTCTAGTTTAAGTGTTACCTTTGGTTCAGTAAACAGCTTTGAACTCTCATTTTCATTATATTTCCTTTAATGTTCTAAGAATGCCACACTGCAGGCAGAGAAGCAAGCACTCAAGACACAATTAAAGCAGCTTGAGACACAGAACAGCAATCTGCAGGCTCAGATTCTTGCACTTCAGAGGCAGACTGTTTCTCTACAGGAGCAAAATACAACTCTACAAACTCAGAATGCCAAACTGCAGGTAATATTTTCCTGGTCTGCTTTCAAAACTAAAATGAATGCAGAGGGTTTTTTTCACATAAAAGCATTTAAAGCTAATGGCAATAAAGGATTTAAAGGGGAGATTTTGCTTCTGGTACCGACATGGAAAAGAAAATGATGTGCAAATAATCTGCACTACAAGCAGTCAATATTTTGTTTGCTGATGAATAACAACATCTCTAGAAGTCGGTTTTAATCCTTCATGTTTGTCCAATTTAAACTCCTAACTTTATCCTTGGAGTGGAGAAAATTCTCTTATCCAGTCTTCTAAGATATTTTTCTGTTTTATTTCTTTTGTACTTCTGAACTAGGTCAGGGTAATAAGGTGTCCAAAGAGACACATAAAAACTATGTAAGTATGTGAAGATTGAGTTCAGATAATTCAGAGGCAAAGAAATGATGAGTGACCATGGGCATTACAAAAGTGATTGCCCACAGTCTTGTAGCTCTTAGAGCCAAAATTCAGCTGTCATTCCTCATATTTTCAGAGGGTTATTAGATACATAGCTTGTTTTCCTCTCATAAATGAAATATTCTTGTTAATGGATGTAATGCTTTTTTGGAGCTCTGAGAATTAAAACTACTTAGAGAGGGAATTCGAGTCCACAAATCAGCAGAGATAGTAAACAGTGTCAGGAATGATGGAGGATGGATGGAAGTCCAAGAGTGAAGGAGTCTTTAAATGAGTAAACAGTAATGAGTAATGCAGTTTGTGGACGTCTCCAGTTATCCTCCTGCCTGTTTCTGGAGAGCAGGATGTGGTTGTACCACAGATGCACTTTCCATCTACCACACTGAAATCTGGTTAGTGCACTCCCTTTTGTGGCTGGCAAGGCCAGGAATGGAACAGGACAGTGGTGCACGCACTGTGTCTTGTCTAGTCATTAAAAACTAGTGGATGTGGGCATGGAAATGCACCATTTTAATCAGATGAGGACGTATCTCTGGGATTCAGAATTCTTTGAGGGTTTTGTAATACCATTTGTCAAAAGAAATATCTACATGGCTCCTTTTTGTCATGAATTGCACACCAGCACGGGCCTTTCCTATTGCATAAACCTGGAGAATGAATTAACTGCAGGTATGGAAAGTGTTAAGGCAGTGAGTTGGGAGAAGGAAGCATTTTTTGCCTTTATTTTAAATCAAGTATTTTTGTGGTGAGCTTCACCAAGCAATGCAATTTCTGTTGCTGGGAGTGACTGGGTGATGTACACCCAACAGACAGAGAAAGGGAGTTCTTTTCTTCCTCAAATTCAGCTATTTTTGCTCATAGCTTCAGGCATGTTGCAAGACAACTGTCCATGAACTCTGACTCAAAAAGAAAGGTGAAATATGTTCATGAAAATAAAGTGATTTAACTATTAGCTAAATCTGAAGTGCAGACTAAGCTGCTCTACGTGGACTGTGTCAGAACTGTCCTTAGGCAACTGTAATTCTACTGTTCCTTCCAGTTCCTGTAAGGAGCATAGAAGAGAAAAGATGTCTTAAAGGACAACTGGGAATTCTGAGCTACATCAAGCTCGGGCTTCAGTCTGGGAAGTTTCACAGCATACACATGCCATCAGACATTACTTCATTTCCAGTGAAAGGTTCAGCTTTCTCATCTGTAACAAAGAATGCCGCAGTTCCAACAGAAAGGCATTTGTTCCTTAGTAACAGCGTGCACTGGAGTGATAGATTTGGGGTTTTTTCCCTTAATAGATACCCTGAGGGCATTAGAAGCCTCAGTAGTTTGTTTTTTTCATCTCTTGAATAGGAAAGAGAAGGAATCTAGCCTGACACAGGTCAGATGACAAGCATGTTAAGTATCAGCCATTCTTTTAAGATCTCCTATGATTAGTTTAGGTCAAGCTATCCAGAGGCACAGAAAGCTGTTGTTATTGTTTTGGGGTTTTTTTGTCTGTCAGCTGTTGAAGGCTTTAATGTGTTAATAGACATTAATGCTCTTCTGACATAATCAGTGGAGAAACTGTACACCAGCTCTCACAACATGTACATGGTGACCAAGTGACACTACTGCTGTTCGGAGAGAACCGGGAAAGGCAGTTCCTCAGTAAAACAGAATACAGGTGGTTCATTCCAGGTGCTGTTGTTTCATTTCCCTTACTCTCTATTAAATGAATGCTACTGTTTGAAGTCTCATTGTAAAGAATATGTGAGTACAATAAGAATTTTGTGGGAACAATAGAGATTCTGTACAATAAAGACTAAAAAACCCCAAACTATGCCAATATGAAAGTTCATTTTATTTTAGTCATGTCAGGAAAATGTGTGTCTCATCTAGACAGCACTTGAACAGATATTTGAAGGTAAATAATGATTTGGTATCGTCCCCACCATGTCAGTAACTAGAAGGTTGCTAAGATGCTAAGGATTAAACTCAAGAAATCTCTCAGTGGGAGGAGATAGACAAAGATAATCCAGACCGTGGAATTCACTTGCAACTCTTGTCAAATGTCTCTGACTGCAGGTTGAAAATTCCACCCTTAACTCTCAAAGCACATCTCTTATGAACCAGAATGCACAGCTGCTCATCCAGCAGTCTGCTTTAGAAACTGAGACCGAATGTGTGCTCAAGGAGCGCGAGGATCTCAAGTCGCTCTATGATTCACTTCTCAAAGACCATGAGAAACTGGAGCAGCTGCACGAGCGCCAGGCTTCCGAGTACGAATCTCTGATTGCCAAGCATGGGAGTCTGAAATCTGCACACAAAAACCTGGAGGTGGAGCATAAGGACTTGGAAGATAGGTAAATACTAATGGGCATAAGTGAAATGAGGGTCTGCAACTCCGGAGGAAAAGCCACTGTATAACTACTATGAATAAAAGTAGTATTAAATGCAACATTAAGATCTTTAAACTTTGAAACTTTTCTCCAAAATTCCATATTTTCTTGTCATTCCGCAAAAAAGTAACTTAAATATTGTTTTTGCTTGCAGGTACAACCAGTTGCTGAAACAGAAGGTGCAGCTGGAAGAGCTGGAGAAGGTACTCAAGGTAGAACAGGAGAAGATGCTGCAGCAAAACGAAAAGCATGAAACTGTAGCAGCAGAGTATAAAAAACTCCGTGATGAAAATGAAAGGTAAAGCAGAAGTCACATATGGAGTGGTGCATATGGAATATATTACACATAAAATAATACACATATTCACATACAGAATATGTGTATTGGCAGAGCTCTGAGCACTTGCTAGTACATTCGAAGTGTTGCATCCTCTCACATTTCTTAATACCTGATGCTGCAATTGAGGACATTTACAATTCACAGCTTACAGCAGCTCCTCTTGTTGGTCTGTGATACAGTCTTTTTAGAAAGACTGAATAGGAAGAAACCAAACTCAAGCCCACAAAATGCAATTATTATATCCCAAGGATACTTAGTTAGAATCATGGAATCATAGAATAGTTTGGTTTGGAAAGGACCTTAAGATCATCCAGTTCCAACCCCCCTGCCATGGGCAGGGACACCTCACACTAAACCATCTCACCCAAAGGTTGTCCAACCTGGTCTTGAGCACCACCAGGGATGGAGCATTCACAACCTCCCTGGGCAACCCATTCCAGTGCCTCACCACCCTCACAGGAAAGAATTTTCTCCTTATATCCAATCTAAACTTCCCCTGTTTCAGTTCTAACCCATTACCCCTTGTCCTATCACTACAGTCCCTAATGAAGAGTCCCTCTCCAGCATCCCTATAGCCTGCTTCAGATACTGGAAGCTGCTCTGAGGTCTCCATGCAGCCTTGCACATACTGTCTTCAGGAATGGCAGGCCAAGCATGATGCAGCATGGTTGTGAGCTGTAGAGGGAGCAAACCACTCCGCAGGAGTTGCTTAAGGGACAAGATGATTGAGGTTAATACCAATAGGAGTAGAAGCACAGTGGGTGGTGAAGCCCTGCTTGACCCCTGCAACTGAGATACGGCTTGCCATAAGTACTTAGGTTTAACAGTAGTATTTACATAGCATGATACTTCCCCCCTCAAGCAGAGGCATTAAGGTTTGTTCATCTGGCAAAGAGGCTCACAATTAAATGCCTCCTACCTTTGGTGTTGTATGAGGAGGATTAGTAGGGGCTGGAGGTGGTTTTTAGAAAGGGACATGGCCAGGCCCAGCAGGGACAGAGGGAGCCCAGAACCAATGTATGAACATAGAATCATAGAATAGTTAGGGTTGGAAAGGACCTTAAGATCATCAAGTTCCAACCCCCCTGCCATGGGCAGGGACAACTCATCCAACCTGGCCCTGAACACCCCCAGGGATGGAGCATTCACAGCTTCCCTGGGCAACCCATTCCAGTGCCTCACCACCCTAACAGGAAAGAACTTCCTCCTTAGATCCAATCTAAACTTCCCCGTTACCCCTTGTCCTGTCACTACAGTCCCTAATGAAGAGTTCCTCCCCAGCATCCCTATAGCCCCCTTCAGACACAGGAAGCTGCTCTGAGGTCTCCACGCAGCTTCTCTTCTCCAGGCTGAACAGCCCCAACCTTCTCAGCCCATCTTCATATGGGAGGTGCTCCAGCCCCTGATCATCCTTGTGGCCTCCTCTGGACTTGTTCCAGCAGTTCCATGTCCTTTTTATGTTGAGGACACCAGAATTGCACGCAATGCTCCACGTGAGGTCTCACAAGAGCAGAGTAAAGGGGCAGGATCACCTCCTTTGACCTGCTGGTCACGCTCCTTTGGATGCAGCCCAGGAGACAGTTGGCATCATTGCCAGAGTTTGGATTGTTCCTATTAATCACTGGTTTGTGTTGGGAAGAAATTTTCACTCGTTTGTAGGATTCCTGTATTTTGAAAAGTGGGATCTTACAAGCAGTTGTGATGTCTGCATTTAGGAATCCTGCTTTATTTTTAACCATACAGAGAACATACAGAGTGGTTGGCTTAAATCAGAATGCATACCTAGGAAAGTTAGACTGAGATGACTTGCCTCCAGTGTGTGAAAGCAACAAACAGTTATATGGGTTCTACGGAGTAGCAGAGAGCTGCTCCATAGAGAAGTGTCATTACCCACATGAGTACGCTTCCTTCTATCTGCATATATTCCTTTATGATGTCTTTTAATTCCAGGCTTACTCACACCTACAGTCAGCTCTTGAGAGACAACGAAGTTCTCCAAACAGACCATAAGAATTTGAAAACGCTATTGAACAATTCCAAACTAGAACAAACACGATTAGAAGCTGAGTTTTCCAAACTCAGGGAACAGTACCAGCAACTGGATATTACGTCGACAAAGCTAAATAATCAGTGTGAGGTATGTGGGAATTATGCTATTTATCATGACTGGTATCACTGTAATATTCATAGAAATGTATTTTTAGATTCATAAAACCTTATGAAGTGCTTGAGAATTAATCACTGGGTTTATAGATAATGAAGTGGGTCTGAAGACATGAATTTGCCTCTTGTGCAGGCAATACAAAAACTGGGGCTCGTGTTAGGTAAACTGATTTAAGTTATTTAAAGCCTCAAAGAGGGTTTTATCAATTGAGTCATGGTATAGTTTTCTGTTTGATTTGAGTCCCTTCATACACCTCAGTTTTCTTGATAATCTCATTCTCTGTGTGTAAATATGCTCACATATATATGCATGTACCATTTCATGTATTTTAACAGCTGCTTAGCCAGCTTAAAGGAAATCTGGAGGAGGAAAACAGACATCTACTAGATCAAATTCAGACATTAATGCTACAGAATAGAACATTACTTGAGCAGAATATGGAAAGCAAGGATCTCTTCCATGTAGAGCAAAGGCAGTACATGTGAGTCTTTAAAACAATGAAATTATTGTCTTTAGGGCAGTTACCGTAATACTTCTTTAAAGCTTCTGTTTCATATAGAAATCAGCATTCTGAAATGTGCTACTTCTGAAATGTTTCTCTTTTTAAAAGACAAATGTAAATTATATATGAAAAGCAGATAAACTGCAAGCACACTTCTGGTTCTGAAGGCTCAGTGCAACTGTGTTCACTGCTGATGATGCAGATGAGGACTAAATATGTTACGCATTCCTCATTGTGCTGCAGGCGAAGTTTCTGGGTTCATTTGAATTTGAGGGAGAAAGTGCCTGACTAAATAATTCTTTTAGAGCACTTTATTATTCTTCAAAAAGGGGGAAAGTTCTGTTGTGTAATAAAAGCAGATGGGGTTTTTTTCAAGTTTATATCATAACATTAAACGTAAGACTGTGGTTTGCTGTATCTTTCCTGAGTTTTCAGTCAGAAACATGTCTTACACAAGAATTCCTCGTAAGTGACACCTTTGAGAGAGCAGCTATCTAAAGGAACGTGCTACTCACCTGTTACACATGCATTTTTGAGGCATGCATTATCATTGGTTTCTGTTAACAGCGACAAGCTGAATGAATTACGGCGACAGAAGGAGAAATTGGAGGAGAAGATAATGGATCAGTATAAATTCTATGAGCCATCTCCACCAAGAAGGTACTGATGAGCATGATCTAAGCACAGGTCTAAGCCATGGCATGCCTGTTCTGCTCCAGCTGAAAATCAAGATCTCTTTAAACTTCAGGGGAGCAGAATCATGTCTGCGTTAATGCTTACAAAGCAGGAAGAGTCTGGAGGTATGAGTGATGTATCAGTAATGCCATCGATGTGCTGTGTCATTGGTAACAGAAGGGGCAACTGGATCACTCTGAAAATGAGGAAGCTGATAAAGTCCAAGAAGGATGTTAACAGAGAGCGCCTCAAGTCCATGACTCTTACACCCACCCGCTCGGAGTCCAGTGAGGGCTTCCTGCAGCTGCCCCACCAGGACAGTCAGGATAGCTCCTCTGTGGGCTCCAACTCTCTGGAAGATGGGCAGACCTTGGGCACCAAAAAGAGTAGCAGTGAGTACTGCAAACCATTTGTTTTTCTATTAATAATCCTTGGCTAAATGTGTTTCTGATGTGATTAAAAGTTAAGAGGTGCTGGAAAAGGCTCTGTGTTTTGGAGGATTTAAGTCTTTAGGAATGAAGCCTGAATTCATTTATTAATGACAGGTTTATACCAACTTCTTGTAAACTCCTTGAGTGTTTGGGCAGGAACTAGTTCTTAGCATATCTTCAGCTCTAAATACTAAAATGCATTTACAGTGCTGGGATAAGCTGAAGCAGGCTCTGTTCCTGGGTCAGGTGAGCAGAATCCTGGGTAGAATGTCCGATGCCACCACTAGAACCCTTTTCTGTTTGTCCCTCTTGTCCCAGCATGAACCTTTCCCTTTGCCTTGGAAGTGCTTTCCAAGCTGTGGCTGTGCTACCATCCTTTAGCTGCCAAATAGATCTGTCTGGAGGTGTTTGTCCAGCATCTCACAAAGCCAGTGATGAAGAACTTTTATACTGTTTCAATAGGCAATAGGAAGAGGCAATTTATAGACATAACCTGTTAAGAAGCCTAAAGGCTGGAGTTAAGGGCTGAGGGAGACTGAGGAGGGTTACAAAGGGGGGGGGATAGATCCAGTATGCCAGACACAATTTGCTCTCCTTTCAAGAGCCCAACAGCTGTCACGTTAGGATGCCCGTTGTAAAAGGCCACATTCTGTGCAGTGTGTCCATTTATTATCTATATTTGTTGTAATCCACTCGTGGCATGAATCATGAACTGCCCAATTTCTCCCAGCTTGAGCGATAATACTGCAGCCCCCTTATCAGGTTGCAGTGATTCCCTTTAATAGTTACGCACCAAAAGCATTTTGGCTGTGCATGTAAAAGCATCAGGCTGCGCGTGTGTTAACAGTCACTTTTGCAATGCTTTTATAAATGTGACGTCTTGGGTTTCAGAAGACAGCAGATTGGTATCCTGGCTTCTGTGCCAGCTCTGAATTTGCTGTGTTAGAAATGATTGGTGCCATGATGATGCATTTTTTCTTCTGTACTTCTTGCAGAAGCTTAGTCAAAGCTAAAACCCACTATGTCAGGGGAGCTAAAAATCCAATTTGTGAGTACCTTTCAATAACTGAAGACAATAGTAAGTTTGAGGTTACATTTTACCACTTTCTTGCTAACTTGGCTCTTTTCAGTGAGGGTCTGTTAAGGTTCCAAACAGGTACTTTTGAACTGAAATGAGTAACTGTTGCTTTTACATCTCAACTGAAGTCTTGTGGAACTCGGGAGCGGCTGAAGCTACAGTGGATGTGTTTGCAAGTGTGTTAGTTTGAATCCAGAGTGTGCATGCTTTGGTTCAGACCATCCACATCCGTGTCAGTGATTTCATGTTCTGGAAGGGCTCTTGTGTGTGACAGTTTTCTCTGCATGATACTTGGGACCTTGTAGTGTGCAGTTACCTCCTGGTGGAGCCACGGTTGAAGTTACCATGGCTGATCCTCAGAGAGGTTTGAAGTTCTTCAGACCTCATTAATTTCTGCTCCATGGACTTTGTTCATGTTCCCCTTCATCCCAGTGTATTTATCCATACACTGGAAGGGCTGATCTAGTCCCAGATCCTAACCTCCCTCCATTACACATCACCATGGAAACCAGTTTTTGATAGAATTTGGAGGACTGATGTGCCAATTCAGTGCTGACAGTTTGCATCTCACGAAGCAGGGGAGTATCTTGGTGTGAGGTACCAGTAACGGTGCACATTTTGCACTCTGTTTCTCCTGCTTTAAGAACAACTGTAAATCCCAAATACCAGCACACTGTGGCTTTCTTTTCTCTAAGAAGTGGCTTGGCAGTAGCAGCTTCCACTGAAAGAAGCTACAAGAAAGAGAAAACCTCTTAAGATGCTGCCTGTCCACGCATGTGCTCAGGTGTTGTAGCTTTCCACACTGGTTGAAGGTAGTTTTGGGTATGGGAAGAGACAGGTTCTATTGCAGCCTGATCCCCTGTGTCTGGGAATGGAGGTGGTTCCAAGGGAAGCAGCTAACATTCCCCATGTGGCAGTCACTGGCACACATCATGGTGTTCTCCAAAGCCAGAGGACAGAGTAGCTGACGTGAAGCGAGCTGTGTAGGTTTCCTACCTCATATCCCCTGTCACAGAAAGCAGGAGGAGATCCTGACTCCAAACTGAACTATGCTGCTACTAGCACTGCTGGTAGATGGGTTCTCTGGGTGAGATCTGTGGATTTTCTGCTTTGGAAGCTGGTGATGGAGGCTGCTTTCCTGCTGCAGGACACTTTCTGATGCAGGTGTTTTTCAAGAGACCTTGAAACACTCATCTTACAGAGACAGGTGATCTAGGAGCAGCAATCAGGTTACCCTGTTCTGCAGAGACCACAGGCCCTGAGGTCTCAGAGTGCTCAAAGTCCTTTTGGGTCTTGAGGTGCTCTGGAAAGGAGGGGAGGACACATCGTGTCATAGTGGTAGTATGACTATGCTGCACAGAAGTAGTATATTGGGCTCCATTTTGTGCTACCAAAGCATTCAGAAGATGCCTGCCTAGCATTTCCTTGTGGCAGGAACAAAGTGATTGGAGGATTTGAATACCGTCCATACAGAATTCCCCAAGAGTATTTCTGGCAACGGGTAGGAAGATTGCAAAGCAGGAGGTTTCCTGATCAGTGGAGGAATTCCGCAGTACTCATCAGTCATTCTGAGCTCAGGAAGCAAGAACATGTTCATAGAATGCTGAAAAGAGAAAGAAAAGCTGAGGAACTGGAGGTTTTTGAGTAGCTGCTGACTATGACAGATGCAGTCTTTCTGCCTTCCTGGCTTTAAAGCCTGGTGGAATAAAGGTGTAAAGAGCTCAAGTTGCCTAGGGTAGACTGTGCTGCCTGTTTGCTCCTGCTGTAGCTTGGCCAGTCCAGTGGTTCTGTGCAGGATGCTTCTTCAGTTGTATTCTATGCAGAATTCCCTTAGGTAACTGCTCCGCTCCAGGAGGTTGCATTTTGCCAAGGGGCAGGTTTTGATGGATGATTTTCAGGACAGCCATAGTTGCAGTGGAGTTTTCTCTTTGGTGCAGTTGCTCAGAGCCATAAATCAACCCTCTGGGAGGTTTCTGTGTTAATGAACCAGAACCGCAGGTGACTTCAGCGAGTCTTGAACATCCTCTGTGTGCTTTTTAGTAAGGTTTGGGTGGTCGTTTTTAATGAAGAGGGATCAGATATCTATAAAGCATTATAGAGTGATGGGGGGGGGGGGGTGTCTGTAAAGGGTTAGAAGGCACAAAGAATCATGTTTCACCATGATGGCATAAAGTAGAGCAGGGTTGCCTCTTTGGTTTGATGGGATTAATGCTAAACCTCATTATTTACCTGTTAAAAGCCTAGTCTGATGCTGTGCCTCATGCTCCTTTGGCAGGGTTCTATATACTGTTAGATACCCGACACACATCTCCTTTGTGGGAGGTTCAGCAGTGCCTCTGCTGTTTATGAACCAGGCAGCATCCATGTTTGTGTTGGTTTTGGCTTATTTCCTCAGGGTCTACAAGAGCAGGAAAGCTTTATTGGTCTCATAAAACCCAAACCAAAATAACTGCTTATTTTGGAGTACATAGAACTATATGTACATGATAAAATATATTTGTATAGATTATATATACCCAAATACTGTATACTTCTGTAGTGGATAATTCACTAAGTGCAAACACAGAATAATAGGGACATTGGAACTATGGATCCCTCTCCAGTATAGATGGAGAGGGAGATGTCCTTCTCTTTCAGGGTGGTTCGTGTGCACTTACACACGCATATGTACATATATAAAGCTCTAAAAACCAAACTGCTACATAACAAACTGCTGGTAGTGCAGAAACCCAGTGTAAATGACAAAGTATGTGTCCCAAGAGTGACTTGAGGGAGATGAAGTGAGCAGATCTTGGGCTGATAGACTGGGCTTTCAGACCTGCGTAAAGGATGCTGGTCGGTAATTCCATGATGGATTTCCTTATGGATCTTTCCATGCCAGTCATTTGCATGTGGCTCCTGTGTGCTTGGCAGCTGGCTGACACCTCTATCTGGTGATTGAAAAAGCAAGTGTTACTAGTGCAGAAGAGCTGAATCTAAGCACTAGATTCACTTGGACTTCCCCCTCCTCTATCTTGCAATACTATTTGTAATTTTAACTCTCTTTTCTGGTATTTTATATATATTGAATAGATCCCAGTTTTCTCTTAGCCCTCCCAAAATGTTACAGCAACACTCACATTTGGATTTAATTCTTCTATTTTTCTCTAAATCTCCTATTTCAGCTAAAAGATTTGGTCAATCCCATTCCAGCCCATAAACCTTGACTTTCCTTTTCCTGTTAGAGATTTGAAGTGGATTACTACAATCACTGCACACAAGCAGTAGATTGAACATCAGGTCCGTGTCATATTCCAACAAGACAGTAGATAACCAAAGTCATCAGTTAGCACACAGTGTAGCACATGAAGCCTGATAATGGATTGGGTCCTTTTAGAGATGCAGGGCAAGGCATTACAGGAGTGCTTAATCTCAAACAGTAATGGTGTGGACAGATTTTAAAGCAGAATTTGGACTTAGTTGCTTTCATTTTAAGCTTTTTTTTTGCTTCACATTTTCTTTATGTTCAAGAAATGTTATTTTTCACAGGAAAAGCTAGATAATCCTTAATTTCTGTAAGTCTGCAAAGTTACCTTTATGTTTTCCAAGAGCTTGGCACTTAACTTTCAAACTGTATTACATCTTCACCATTATCCTCAGTGCATTTCTGAGGTTGTTAAGGTTTTCCTAGTGTAGCTTTCACGTTTCAGTGTAGCTTTCATGTGTCATTGTCACGCAGAAGCATGAGAACGATAGCGTGTAGCGTAGCTTAAACTCAGACATTCATTTCTGTCCTTAGTTTCAACATTTAACTTCCATCTGTTCTTCTCCCCTTTTTTCTTTCATTTCCCTGTTTCCGTTTTTCCTCATGCTATGACATTAAAGTGGTTGCACTGAAAAGACTGCCCTTTTTGAGGAACAGACCGAAGGAAAAAGACAAAATGAAGGCCTTCTACCGTCGCTCCATGTGTAAGACTTTCTGACAGTTCAGCTTCTTCTCAATGGCTACACTGGCTTCCATTACTAATTTTTCACTAACCTCTCCCTGGACTGCGCTGTATTTTACCTCCTCTTTTGCAATGTGCAAGTCCTGCTACAATACAAGGAGCTGGAGCTTTTCCCTTTTTTTTTAAACCTTGGCACTGAATACTTTATATATGTGAACACACACCCCCCCCCATACTATACCCACACTATACACACACATGCACATACATATATATATTCAGTGCATTGTGACTGCATATATTTGTATACATAGTTGTCTATATACGCATGTCTCTATGTGTATATAAGCTGACAGTGCACTGTGTTAAACTAAGTAGCTGCAAATCACACATTTCATAAGCCTTTTGTTAAGCAATCACTGTAATCTTTTGTTTAAAGAAAGGGTAGAAGATAGTGCGAGGCTCTGTGGTGGTCTGTCACTCTTCAACCATCCATCAGTTGTTGTTGTTGCCGAAGTGTTTGTATTGAGTGGATTTATTTGGGTTCCCAATGAGGGGTGGACAATTTTCCCTAGTTATAGTGCAGCGAAGGGGAATATCATCAGATGTCATCTTTTCCAGACCCTTTTATTTGTTGTGATGTGAAATCCAGTATCCCTGCAGTAACCTGCACTGTACAAGGATCCCGTATCACTGTTGACATCATGTTGTATTACACCTTTGCCCATTTTATCCTTCTCCATTCCATTTTCTCATTGCAAACAGTGAATCAAAGCTTCTAACACGCATACTGCAGCGCAAGCATGGCAATTATATGTAATAAAAGCAGTTTTAAGACCCATACTGAGCTGAAAGGAGTCGCTTGCCTTACCTCACTCCCCACTCATTGAGCTGATTGCATGTCATAACACGGATGATCTTGTGCTTGTATCTTCCAGTATTCAATGTGCTTTAATGCTTAGAAAACTGTCCAGCGTTTTGCAGTACAAAATAAGACCAGAAGCGAATACATTGACCACGCTGATCATTTGCTTTCATTTGCATCCCAGCCATGAATGACCTGGTGCAGTCCATGGTCCTAGCAGGAGGACAATGGACAGGTAGTTCTGAGCATCTGGAGGGTCCTGATGATATATCTGCGGGTAAAAGGAGGAAGGAGTTGGGAGCTATGGCCTTCTCTACTACAGCTATCAACTTTGCAGCTGTCAACTCTTCTGCAGGCTTCAGATCCAAGCAGTTGCTAAATAATAAAGGTATAGGTAGAAGCTTTTTGCACCGTGACGTGACTGTGTGTAACAGCAATTTCGTGTCCATACTGGGTTTACTTCTATTTTAAGTTATTCCACAGAAAGCAACTTCAGTAAATTGAGTTGCAGTGCCAAGATGCGGCATAGGTTTAATAACTGTAGTTATATAAAGTGTTGGTGGGGTTTTCCTACAGCGTGTTACCTAAGTAAAACTGGATCGGTTTGAAAAATGCCTCAGTATGTTTTACATATTTCAATAATCATTTCATTTTACATCTTCTTTTATGTCTCTGTGTATAGATACCACATCCTATGAAGATGTAAGTCCACAAGGTATTAGTGATGATTCTAGTACAGGATCGAGAGTTCATGGTAAGAGGTGAACTTTAACTAGCTGAATTAAGGATACATTATGTATGTGAATGTTAACCAACTTTGCAAGGAAGAGTGAATGGCATGGTTAGAAGTGAGCATGCTTTCTGTGATTTGCCTCTCTTGAATGTGTAGTCTCATTTCTTCAGATTGTTCTTTTCTTTCTTAACTACTACATCAGATATTCTGTAGATATTCTATCTCGTAGAAAGTATCTATGAAGTGCATCTGAACAGGATCAAAACATTTTCCCTTTAAGAATTCATTTGGAGTTAATAGTAAAAGCAAAGAAGTTATGATTTCCATCCTAAAAGCCGTTTTAAACGCAAATCTGAATCTGGCCTGATTATTCAAACGTTTCTCCTTCGGTGAAACCTAAATTTGCCATGTATTTCATACAGCCATTTCCTTCAAGCCACGCTTGAAGTGAAAGCTGCGATAGAGTATGTAGCAGTGAAGCTTTACTACTGAAAATGAGCAGGAGCACAGACCTTTCTGGGGACAGTAACAGCGCGTTTCCTTGTGTTGCATAGGAGTGCAGGCCGTTATCTGTGCAGATGCTCTTGCTCCTCCTGTCGGTGGCATTTCAACTCTGTGCAAGGTTCCTTGTCAAATCTGTTGTAAGTGACCTGCTCACCAGCCGCTTGCTGCACGCCCTTCACCTGCACCCCCTGGTTTCCCACTAACCAGCCTGGTTCAACTCTAAACATGCACTCTGTTTCTCTATTTCTCTTTTCCTCTCCCTTGTACCTTTACTATTCCTGTAGTGCCCTTTCCTAAAGTGTCCTCTTGGGCTGCCTGGAAATCCCTTCGCTTTCTGATGTGTAAGAAACCACTTTGTTGGCAATGGGCATGCTCAGCCTGTGCAGTAGTGCATGATCCTGCCTCTGAGCATTCTGTGAGCAGAATGTGGAGGTGCCGTGCTGCCCGCTAAAACTTGGTTCCTCATCGTGTCTCCTCATTTCCCATTTAGCTTCCAGACCAGCCAGCCTTGATAGTGGCAGAACATCCACTAGCAATAGCAATAACAATGCTTCGCTCCATGAAGTCAAAGGTATGCTGTAGGTGAATTCACATACGTGCTTCATGTCCATTGTTTTCTCTGTAAGATCATCTATTATAGGTTAACATAAGTAAAAAATAGAAGAATTCGCACTAAGCACCACAGATTGATTTTGTTTAGGTGTTTTATAGCCTTTATTCCTCAAATTAGGAAAGGATACTTAATATAACTCACGGTTTTTGTAAATATTAAAGGGGTGATATTAGTGCATAAGTTACAAACCATTGTAAACCAAACCTAACCCAAGGAAGCAGGTTACAAAATAAGAACTCCCCCAAATTCCTTTAAAATGGCTCATTTGGAAGCAAAGAATTGCCCCATTATGTTTTTTTTTAATCCTAGCATCCTACTGCTGTAAAGCTCTGTGTGTAACACACAAACTGGACAAAACAGCGGCTGAAATACCAGCCTGTCGTCATCTGTGTTTGTTTCTAAAGGATGGATAACATCCCTGGATTTATAAATTTCATAGATCACGAGTCCTGAGACATTTTTGGTTATAATGGGAATAATAATCTCTAGCTGGAGACCATTGGACGTACTAGACTAGAATGCTGCCAACTCAAGACTTTGTTTAATACTGGTGGTTTGCATTTATTAAACAGTATCAGATTGGAAGCTCAGAGGTGAAGGCCAGCTTGAGATTTGGATTAGTTTTATTAGCTTCCTGGTTTTATTAGTTTAATTTGTGTCTGTTCCATGAGTCTTCGGGGTTCCCCTCGCCCTGTTTTCTGTACAGCATTGGAAAACTTGTACTCCAAAGTTAATTTCACTCCTTGGGAATAACACGGCATAGGAAATACTTGATGATTCATCAGTATTTTTGAAGCAATTCACAATTACTGAGCAATAAAAAGAATTGGTGCTGTGCAATTCATCTTGCATTGAATGCCGTGTGCTTCCTTTAGGCCACAGTTGTCAGAAACTAGAAGTAACAGCAGAAGCTGTGGGAGAAGCAGCATTCCTAAATTGTCCTCATTGAAGAGCTGTGTTTAAGAGAACATTTTCTGTCCATTCCATGCTTTGTATTTCATTTAATGTAAAACTCATTACTGATACAGTAGAGCATGTGCCTCACAGCGATGCTGAATAAGAAGGGGGCTCCTCTTTAGCCCCCTGGAATATGATGTTACATAGGTGGAGGCCCAGATTATAAGTGAGAGGTTGGGGTTGTATTCAGAAACCCCGATGATGTTTAAAGGGCTGTAAGAGGTAAGTCAGGGGAGTGCAGTTGTGTTAATCTGCTTGGTTTGAGTAAGAAAGGACAACTGGCCTTAGTATTTTAAGCTGGATTTAGTATTTTAAGTGGAGTTTGTTAACTGAATCTGATACTGTTCCAGATGTGAGTTTGGTTGTACTGTTCAACAGCTCCCATATATTCCTATGGAATCACTGAATGCCGTTTGCCCCAAAGCAGGTGCAATTCACAATCAGAGCAGGCCCCAGAGCCACAGCAGCGGGGAGTTCAGCCTGCTGCACGAGCACGAAGCGTGGTCCAGCAGCAGCAGCAGCCCCATTCAGTACCTGAGGGGTCACACGAGGTCTAGTCCTGTGCTGCAGCAGAGAACGCCCGAGATGCTGGATGCTCGTGGCAGGCACCTCAGGACGGGTTCCCCTGGCAGTGAAGTCGTGACCCTGCAGCAGTTTCTGGAAGAGAGCAACAAGAGTTCCTCCAGCGAGGTTAGTTTAATGGAGTGAGTAGAGTGGCTGTAAACTGTGTGGAGTTACTGGCTGCGTCTACATCTACATTAAGGAGTGGTGTGGACTGCATCCCGATAAACTGCACTCACTGTATTGCACACAAAATCAGTTGGGGTTTTGCAGCTTCACTCTTTCTGGGTTACTGAATCAGGGAGGAAAAGTCCATCTCTGCACAAAACTGAGACCTGGTGCACTCACCAGAGCTCAGGTGAAGGCCACACACTCAGAGTAGCTTTACTTCCCGTTCACCTCTTGTCCGCAGTAAGCGGATGATGCTTTACTTCATTCCCTGAGGAGAGGCTCTTGTCTGCTTCAGATTCATCTTTTAACTAGGCAGAAAAATAAAGAGCTTGGAGCTCATTGAAATCTGAGAGGAATAAGGCAAAGAGAATGTTTCTTTCAATTGGTGGCAGTTTGTTAGAAGCCCAAAGTCCCTTAGTATTCCAATTGCTTCTTCACCAGTTCTTGAGTAGTAGAGATGTCCAAAAGCCAGAAGAGCTGTAGGATAAAGCAAGCCCGTTACTGTGACTAGGCCCTGCCCTGAGAGAGGACCAGAATCCATCTGGTTTTAATGCCACAGTTGAAAATGAAGAACACACGTTCACATCTGAATCGATTGGGGAAGTAAGTCAGAGGTTCCAGACTTGGATCTGGAACTGAGTTCATGGATTTTTGCTAGATCCTTCCAATGACCTCTCACCTGTGGAGTCCCTGACAAGGATTTTGGGATTTGAGCATTAGACAATACTCTTCTGGCAACAGAAGCAGCAGAAACCCCCGAGTCATCCGTCCACTGCTGTTCGTGTATCACAGACCCGTTCACAGCATCACAAAACCATTCAGGCTGCAGGGAGATTCAGGTCTCTTTCCAGTCTTCTGCCAGAGTATTTCCTTAATGCTTTTAGCTGAATTCTTCCCAAATTGACTCTTTCAAGAAACAATGGGAAGCTCTCTGGTCCAGATGGAGGCACTGTGGGTGCCCCAAAGTTCTGTGCTTTCTGTTGCTGTGGGAGGTTTTTGCCTTTGTTATGTGAGTGATGAAGGAATTTGAGCTTTCAGCTCCGGATGATCAGTGTCAGTTGCAATGAGTCCACATGAAATGGTTTGGGAAGTATCAGTGTGTGATGGCACAGGGCAAGTGAGTGAGAAGATGGAGTTTTGAGCATATGATTTGCTGAGTTAATCAGTGTTAGAGAAGCTAACTCCAGATATTTGTGCTCTGTCTGGTTTTCAGAGTACTTGTAGGCTGTACAGAAGACTCAGTCATGTGTACCATAAACACGTAATGCTACTTTTAGATCTGAGAAGTTGAAGTACTTTTAGTTGTTCTCCATTTATGTCCACAAAGGTGAGAATTCCAGTGCATAAATTCCTGTTTCACCCTTGTGACAGATGAAATCAGCAAGCGAAGAGAATCTGTTAGATGAAGTGATGAGGAGTTTATCCGAGTCCTCGGAGCTGGCAGGGAAGGAGAAGCTGAGGAAGCAGCCGTCTGCCGGTTGTGGCATCGTGAGATCACTGAGTGTCAAAGCCACCATTGACTTCTCAGATGGACGATCCCTAAAGGCAGAGCAGCTGGTGAGGCCGAGCCTTCGGAAAAGCGACGATCCCACCGTCGCCAGCTCTCCGGTGAAGTTGACAGGAGGCACCCAAGGGAAGGCCAAATCCGTGAAGGAAAAGCTCCAGGGGAGCGTTTCCCAGCGCCAAGCCCGCGATTGCAATCCCTACGCCACCTTACCTCGTGCCAGCAGCGTCATCTCCACTGCAGAAGGCACCACCCGAAGGACAAGCATTCATGACTTCTTGTCTAAGGACAGTAGGCAGCCTGTATCAGTGGATCCAGCGCCAGCCACCGCCGACAGGAGCGTTCCATCGGCCTCTAGTGAGTACTCAGCACACCAGTTACCCTCTCCTTTTGTTCACTGTGTGGCTTACAGAGTAGATTGTTTTGCACAGAGCGATGCAGCTACTGCAGTTAAACCCCGTGCTGTGGGATGTCACTCTGATGTTCCTAAGGCTTCCAGGATGGAAAGGTCAAATTTTCGGGAGAGAACTTTGCTAAGCTCAAGTGTGTTTAATGATAAATCCTCTGGTAACGACAGCACAGGGTCGCTCACTGTGGCTCAGCCATTTGTATCCCTTAACACTGAATTAGTCAGTAATATAAGTGGGTTGCCTCACAGGCCTACTTCCAAACCAACTGAGCAGGCAAATCTGTCACCATTTAGATCAGTGCCCAAGAATCCAGAACAGCCTCCTGCTCCCCAGGAGCCTGCTCGCAGTGACCCACGGTCAGCTCTGAGTGGTGAACTTGTTCCTACCCCGTGTGTGAACACCAGTGAGGCTGAATCCCCACTGCTGGTTTCTGAGGATAACAAAACTGTGTGGTACGAGTATGGCTGTGTATGATAAGGAAGTTGTATTATTAAATATATATATAGTCTCACACAACACATAGGTGTTCTGCTCAGTGTCCGCTGGACTTAAGAGATTTCACTCCAATGACAGAACAATCCCATGTTAGATCTGCAGGTGGCTGTTGGTAGAGCTCAGTTGTGTACTCCAGCATGTCTGAATGTGGAATTGTAACCTCACCAAAGTCTGCATGAACCATTAATTGCACTGTATATATTTTGCATGCCTTGAAAAGTCTTCATAATGCGAGCGGTTTTATTTGTCACGCATCACAGATACTTTGGTTTCTCCCTGTATGTTACTGAATGCATGTCAAACCAGGCGCATGCTGCACTGCCACAAGTGGCACCAAGAGCAATTCCAGTACAAACCCAGGACTTCTCAGACGTAACAGTAACACACTGAGGAGGTACTTGGAGTAAAAATACTCCCCCCTCTTGTTACGTAAATGAGATAGTAATGAAAAGAAGCGGTTAGAGAGATTCCAGTGTCTTACCCTTTTCATTGATGCCATGGCCTGGCATAAATGCACTTCGCATGAGGAGCAAGTTACAGCGCCATAATTCATTGCCTCCAGCTTGCACAATAAACATGAATTACTGCTCATAGTTATTAAATTACTTGCACATCAATAAATGGAAAGACCGTTCATTATCCTAATAAATCTTAGGAGGAGGAGATAAACACTTACATGATACACAGCACTTGCAATGAAAAAATGACCCTTTCCACCTCTTCCCTTTTGTATGCTTTGTCTCTCCACACCTGGTGTACAAATGTGGTGAAGTGTATGGTTTATTAGGAGTCAAATAACGGAGTTATAGGAGACGCCTTGTGATGTGTGGTAATAAAAACCTGTATTGATCATGGTGGAAGCTCATTTTTTCTTCTGAATAGAAGTAACACTAATACAAGAGAAAAGAAGATGTGTGACAGGGATAGCTGTTACATTAACACAGCTAAATAAAAGACACAATCACCGAGACATTGCTTGTAAAGTTATGTGAGTATAGGGGATGCTGAAGCGAGTAACTCATTAAATCCCAAATGACCAACTACAGAGAAATGCTGAAAAGGAATTGCTTCATGTGCCCTTGTGGCTGCAATGGCTTGAAACCTCTCTATGGTGAATATATAACAATATATATATAATGTTATAATATATATATATAACAGTTTAAAATGGTATCATACTTAAATTGTCATTTATGAGGCTTCAGATACGGCCTTTTTTGCCAGAGGCCCTAGTTACCAACAGTTATCATATCATAGGCGAACATTACGTATGCTATAAAGACCTGAATGCCAATGTATGTAGAGGAGAAGTACTTCAGATCTCCAATACTGGAAATAATGAAGGCCATATTCTGAGTTTTACATTTAAATCTCTTTTGCCAGAGGTTCTGTGGCACTCATGGTACTGCTGGAGCTTTAATTCTTGAGTCTTTCACTAGGGAGAGAGCAAATCCGCTGCTCTTTGAGGGAAAGCAGCAGACACACCCCATATCTTAGTCTAGAAAATCGCCATGTCAAACATGAGAGTTGTTAATAGAGCAGGGAGATAGCTCTCCCCAGAGCTCCAGCTCCATTCCAAGATGGGGAAAAGGAAGGAGGGCAGAAGTTTGGATGTTTCAGAACATTTTGTGCAGGATAAAATGACTGTTCCACAACGTGCAGCAGCCATCCTTCCCCATGGCTGCAGGCGTCCCTTGATACAGGGCTGATAAGTGTTGCTCAAGCGAGCTGGCAGTTACTGCTGAGCTCCCTCTAGAATTGTGTCGCTGTTAAAAACCCCAACCCCAAATCTGAAATACCATCTGCATTTCACAGGCAGCGGGAGCAGCGTGTGCTGCTCTCTGGCCCTGTCACTCGACTTCGTTTCTGTTCATCTCTCTCTGTGTTGGAATTAGCTCTGAGGTGAACAGTGCTGAAGCGACGTGAGCATAGCACATTTTGTGGGTTATTTAAGGCATTATAGAGCTCTCAGAGTACTTATTATACACTCACACTGTGCTGCCAGTATCTGTGTCATCTGCTTAACTGATTGCAAGCCTGTGTCTTGTAGTGAGGCTGCTTGTTAGGATAAGAACAAGGTTTGCAGCTCACGGTAGTATCTCCTCCTTAGATCAGCTGCTGTTGTCCGAGACATCGGATAAGCTTTAGTGCATGATACTACCTCGTTTGCCAGCTTTGTCCTGCTTAGGTCCTTAGACTGTCACAGCTACAAACCCCGCCAGCATTGTCTCCAGATATATTGCAAACCCTCCAGCACTGAACCCTGACTGTAGTCAGGAGCAGGCCTAAGGTCTAAAGAGAAGTTGTAGAGGTCACCCCAGTAGAGTGAAGGTAAAGCTGCTGTCCATGCACTGGATATGCTGTTTCCAGCCGCTGCCCATGCAGCACTGCAGTTTCAAGCATCTCATTTCTCTTCCTAGCACTGAGCTTTCCAAACAAACCAAACCTGGCAGTGCATATCTATGCCTTTTAATGCCTTTTAGCCTGTGTTTTACGTTACCCCACTGGGGGGAGGGAGCAGCATTAACACAGCTGCTCTCTTAAACCCAGAGGGCTTCAGAATAACTGTTAGTGCCTTGGAACATGAGTGCCTCGTATCCTCTATGGCAGTTCTAGTCTCACCTTGCCCAGGTCAAGGTGCCATTTTGCATGCTTTATAACCTTCTAATGACCTGCATTTCAGCTCTGAGGGTACCAGCTTTCTGTGCTCCTGGGTTTGCTCTGCAGTGTTCAGCACAGCAGCAGACGCACGCTGCTAGGGCTTTTAGTGTCTCTGAATGATAAATTATCAACATTTCTTTATTATATAGGAGAGAAAGCAAATGTTTTCTGTACAGAAGGGTTATTTTTCCTTCCTTTTTTATTCCTTAACGATAACATCATGGACGTCTCTTGTGGTCTGTGCTCAAACAGTGGGAGAAGCTGTGAGGTTCCTTTCAGACCAAACTGCTGCCACTCCTTAGCCATGCAGATGGTGCCCTTGCTCATTCCTTGGTCCCTGCTGCCTTTAAAACTAAAGAGTTTAGGGCTTTGCATGGTAATTACAAACACTAAATAGGTGGCTGCTGGCCAGAAGAGGCTGTGTTGTTCAGGCTCAGTGATGTGCTTGCTGTTAAGGTTTGCTCGATGCTTTGCTTGCAGTGTGTAGTAAATTGAGGTCCTGCATTTTGCACGTTCAAGCTGTTGCATGCAAAGTTAATTCTGTGTTTTGCAGAGCTGATGAACACAGATGAGTCCTTGCTCTGCTGGGTTCAGTCAGCCTGGGTTCCATTGGGTTGCGTTCATTTCCTTTTCATACAGGCATTTAGGGTTAGTGTACCTGAAAGGGAAGCGTATCTGATTGTGGCTTTGAGAACAGTACCTGGTTATTCTGACTGCTAGGATGAATTGTAACAAGTGTGGTTGAGCAGGCACTTCCAGTGAGTTTCTTCCATCCCTCTCCTCTGTCCTTTCCTCTACAAACAAACCAAGAAGATGTTAAAGTGTATCCTTTTGCTCTACTAATGAGTAGAATGTATTTTAATGCATGAGGGGTTTATTTTCATGTCCTGGTCAACACAATGAATAACGTGAAATGCTTTTCTCTGCAGATGTGGAAGCTATCCCAGAAAGCAGAAATTCAAAAAGCAGGTCTAGGGAGCAACAAAGCTCCTAATTCTATTACCCACTACCTGAGCTGTGGGCCAAGTGGTGAGTTTCCTGCCCAAAACGTAAATGAGATTAATTTCATTTACAACAAACTAACAGCATTACCTATGAGAACAAGTGCACATTGCATTAACCAGTTGTAAATGCTGCTTGCTTAACTGGCTTCTGTCTCGCTTACTGGTTAGGCCAGAGCAGGATGGTTTCCAGCAGTTGTTTTGCCTGTGTAGGAAAGGGACTATCATCCCATGAGCCTTCTGCCTGTAAAAATGACATACACTTTATTTGTCATATTTCTTGAGGAAGAAGGTTAAAGAAAGGAGTAATGTTGAAGTCAGTTCTTAGAAAGGGACTGATATGTCTAAAAGGACAGTTTAACGGAACAAAAAGTGTTCCGTAGCACAAGGAGACTGCCTTTGTACAAAGCTTGTCTTTGGCATCCTGTCCTCTTGACTCCATGAAACCCCCTTTGCTGCATGCTGTTAGTGCTGTTAGTTCTGTTAGTGACTTAACTCCTGTATTTTATCCTTCCCCACTTTTAAGCTTTTCTTGTGTTCTTTTCTCTTTCCGCCTTGCAACTGAACGCAGAGAGAAAAGTGTCCTTCAGTATCTCAGTATGAAGCCTTTATATCTGAAGTAACAAGACAGCGACTGTAGGAATCAGTAATAAGAATTAAGGGAAATTTTTTACCTTCTTCGTGACTAGAGCAGGCAAGAAATAAAAACCTACCTACCTTCCTCCTTCCTTCCTTGAATCAAGGAGCTCTACTGGAGTCTGCTGCCGGAAACTTGTAGATGGTCTTAGGAATTATTGCACATTGCACTGTTAAGATCTACTGAATAAAGGACAGTTCTCATCTCTCCCTAAGGACCAAGGATTTTAAGGTCTCAAGAATTTCCTCCAGGGGAAAAAAAAAAAGGAGAAATAAAAATACTTCTTTCCTCTTCTGTTTATGAATTTAGCCACTGATTTGCTTAAGCTTCTGCTAATAATTAGCCAAAAACCCCCCTAACAAGCAGTTTCTCTTCTGTACACCTAAACCGCTGTAGTATTTTGTTGGAATTGACTGTAAATACAGCTCCAAACCCCTCCCCGCTTACTGGCACTTCACTGCCTTACTGGGTTAGCGTAATCTGCATGAAATTGCTCTTTAAAACGTTTCTGCTGATTTTTGTTGCGTTCTGCAAGGGAAAAAACCATGTTTACAAACCTGACAGAGTTCAGTGACGAACACGTGGGAGCCATGGGATGATCGTATTGATACAGAGATGGTTTGTCAGTTGTGTTCTTCACATTCCCCCGCGTTACTCCGCGAGTGTATGTTCAGATGTTCCTGACGGGACCTTGTCGGGTATGATTTTTCTATGCCTTTTCTTTTACTACAAGGCTGTTCTCAACAAGTGGCATTGCCAGGATCAAACTGTCTTACGATGTGTGTGTACTGACTCCTTTTTTTCCACTTGTTTGTCCTTCGACATGAGCTGATGGTGGCTTTAGGAGGTCTCTTGATGGCAGAAAAAGGAAATGTAAATAATATCACCTGCATTTTACAATCGGTTCCCCTTAAGGTTATCTTTTACTAGCAAGATACATTTTGTTCATTATTGATTTACATTAAAGTCGACGAATGTTATTGATACATTCAGTGGTTGCATATATTTGTCGTCTTGAAAGCCCGTGGGGAGAGCTCACAGGATGTGTATGTGAGCTTACAAGCAGAGCCAAAATGAGTTTACTGTAGTTGTATTTGACTACAAACCCCATAAGCACACCCATGCTCCAGTTCTAACGGGTTAACTGTGTAACCTCCTCACATCCCATCCTCTGACAGGCATGCGGGTGACTTCACCTCCAGCTATCTCCACTCACCTAAGTGAAGGTAAGCTGATGTGTTTTCGCAGGGTTTAGCACTTATAGTGCTTCGGGCTGTCAAGGACAGTTGGAATGGAATTGTTTTCACTGGAGAGAAGATGCAGTTCAGCAAATTCAAAAGCCTCCTGGCACTTAATTCATTTTACTGAGATTTTGTCAAAAAGGGTAAAAAGAGGAAAGTTGGAGAAGCTTTAAAAGGAAATTCTCTTGGTTTTCTTCCTTAAAGCGACTTCCTTCTGAGCTACCTTTGATGATAAAATACCCTAAAAGATCCAGTTCTGCACAGAATGTTCTGGGTTTACAACAGAAATACTCGGTTCAGTCTGGGATTGTTTTCCCGGAGGGCTTAAACATTTTTAGTTGTTTTTCTTAAGAGAAAACGGGACCAATTGCACAGCTCCACACCCATAGAATGTCCATTCTTCCTCTGCAGACATTTCTGGTGTTCCATTAAAATCACTGGCTTATTGTGACCAGCTCACACTGGCATCCAGTTCTGGTCCCTCACTCTCAGTGCCAAGCTTTTCACTGGTTCCAGCAGGAGTGTGGGGTGTTTTGTGGACTATCCACACAGAGCTGCAATCCCAGGAGGATCTGAAGCCTGCAGTGCTCCTGGTGTCCGGCTCCACAGTGGCTGGCTGCTTTAGCTGGAATCTGGAGCTCAGTTCCCCACATTGTAACTGGTACAAGGATGTTTTGAGAGGGATTTGGGCATCCCAGGCCACACAGTAACAGCCACGCTGGTTGTATTCATGGGATCCAAGTAGTTGGGTGGGTTCAGGTAGATCCTCCAGGACCCACTGGGCAAGAGTGTATTGCCCTGTGTGGTAGGCATTTCTCTGTGAGCAGTACTGCTGGGCACACATAGCCTGCCCTCACCACGAGTGGCTGTGTTAGTTTTGGCCCACAGGCATCTCCTGATGGTTCATTTATTAGTTCAGCTCTTTTCTGTGTTCATTAAGTTGTCCCGGATCACCCACCACAACTTCCACACTTGCTTTCTGCATGTTGTTACACCTCCCTAAAGCATCAGTGCAATCACAGCCAGGGTTACAACTCCTCATTAACCAATAATGGGTGTTAGAAATGAACCCCCCATCCAGTAACCTACACAAAGTTTACTCATACAAGAGAATCAGCCAGAGCCTGGGGGCAGAATTCCCCCTGCACCCCAGTCCTGGCTCAGGCCTGTCTGTGCCAGTGGAAGTGGGTTTTTACTCACTTCACCTGCATCAGCACAGAGGCCACAGCGTGGGATTTGGGGTTGTGATTGCTGACTTAGCCAAGCCCAGCACCAGAGACGCGCTGGTGTTTGAGAGACCAGGATCTGCTTCTCGCAGTGCTTTGTTTTGCAGACGTCTTGGAGCAAGGGAGCTGTCAGGAAGCTCTCTATGCTCTGAGGAGTTCTAATTATTTTCTTTCTCCTTCTTAATCTTCCCAGTCTGTGCCCTTCAAATACAATAACCATGTAAATTTAATTAGGGAGCTGCTTCACGTGTTCTGAAACACCATCTCCCAGGGGAAGACCAGGGCGGCCGTTGGGCACTGTGTGTACAACAGGGGTACAGACACTGCTTCCCCCTCAAGCACTGCCAGATGTGTCACCGCTGGTTCCGGATCACAAACAGGTTGTAGTGCTGTACAATGTGTCAGTTTGATTTACTTTGCTGAGGGTCCGCAGAGGATTTGGTATCATTCCCAACACGTCTTGTGGCTATTCCCAAGACATGCTGCAGCCCCAGTGAAGCAGCTCATGTATGATTTGTGGAGTTAATGATGATGTGTGTGTAAATAATGCTTTGATATTAATAAAACTGCCTTAAAGGAATGTACCGAGGTGTGAAACAACATTCAAAAAGCTCTTATTTAAATCTGTAATTTCCTTTACATACTGATTTTTTAATTGTTTGCCACTGTAAACATTTATTAATGATGTTATTAAAATGCCAAACCAAATAATTCTTACTTTGTGTGTACATCTATACACACTCTCTCTGGAGACTGATGTTGCTGGAAGGATGCTGGTGTTCAGTTGTGGTCAGTGAGTTCTTCTCACTGCTGGCGCAGAATCTTTCCTGGACAGTGTTTGTGTTGTTTCTCTGTGTGTGGCTGCTCACTAGACACTATTTTCATATTATTTAAATAAAAAAGGCACTAATTTCAGAAGTAAATGCAAAAAGAAACCATTCTAGATTTGCCAAATGTAGCATTTAAAGCTTTGATTTTGCCTGGTTGTTACTTCTGCTGAGAGAAGTCTCAGAGCCTCTCCTGAGGACAAAGGTAGTTAAATTTTAGGCAGTACAGAGCTGGAGATCCATGAAGCACAGTAAAGTGCTGTGTGCACATGACTTTAAAACAACTTTTCACATTTAAAGCTTTCTGGGTATAAAAACCTTGACAAGTCAAATATCATTTGGGGTTTAAGCTATAAAGTATTCTGGGGTACCACAAAGAAACCTTAAAGGGAAGGGGACTGAGTGACAGACAGAGGGTAAAGTAAATTCTACTTTTAAAGACACATAAGACAGCATCCACATGTTCCTTTCAGTCCCTTAACAACACATATAAAACTACATGTATCTGGACATCATTCTAGTGGCTCTTCCTACAGCATCAACATTTTTAGGTCACCTCTTTCCCACTTGAGATGACTGCAGTGACAGATGGGGTTGGTTTGTGTCTTTGGAATGTGGAGGGGAGAATTTAAAAACAGAACATTTACGAGACAGCAGTTCAAGGGCATGGCTCTGAGAACAGGCTATCAGATCCTTTGGAGGATTTGAAGGACACAGTGGTAAGGCTGTTTGTGCAGTGACTTGCTTTGCCCTGGAAGATGCTTTTTCTTAATTGATCACTCGGTGGAATTTAAAGTTTCACTTTCTTAATAAGAAAAAATGTAGGAAAAAATGCGGCATCCTTTAGAGTGATGCAGTAGCAAATAGTCATCCAAGATCATGAGGTCTTTAATGGGGTTTTTCTTCATCCGTCTGTGTTCTGTTCTGTCTCCGGTTCGTTGGTGTTACTGCTTGTACACGACATTTTCGTTAGGCTGCGTTCAGAAGCCCTTTTCCTCATCATCTTTACGTTGTGTCCCTTGCTTTCACTGCTCCCCTCTCTCTGGGTTTTGGAAGGGTACCTGTTGCCACAGCACGTTTACTGGACTTCATGGAATTTCTTGCTGCTTCTGTCTTCAACACACATTCTGTTTGAAGGGGGTTTATTCATTTAGGCAAGAGAGGAGGAGAAGGAATTGAGAGATTGCGTGTTGAGTGTGTACTGGTCGTAGGGCAGCAGATGTTTCTCTGTACAAAGTATTACCTACTGAAAGCCAAATCAGCCTCCCCTCTATCTCTAGGGACGTGTGGATGTTTGTCAGTAGAAGGCAGTGTCCTTCTCCCGATGGGAGAAGCTCAAGTACAGCCCCTTGTTGTATCCTTCTCTCCACTTCTGTAGGTGCTGGTTAAAGTACACTGGAGCACAGACACAACAAAACCACACACAAACATTGGTACGGCTCCCGATTGTATTAACTTTCCTCCCAAGCATCACCAACACAGATCAGGAACCCACAGTAACGTTACTCCTTCGAGCTCATCCATTAGGGAGGCTGGTACTGGGGTTTGCATCCCAATTGCTGAGAAGCTCTAGAAATGAGAAAGGTGCATGTCTGTGCTCATGGGGCAAGCACAAGGTAACTTCCCAAGGGGGAGGATACTGTGAAAGTGAAAATGCAGGTAAAAACATAGACAATCAAATGTGGTTTTGGTAGTGTAGGCAAACTGTTTCTTTCTAGGTGAAAATAATTAAAAAGAAAGCAATGTGTAGTAGAGGATGAGTGGGTACAGGTACACAGCAGAGAAACCTCTGTCCTGTGTGTACTGACAAATACTGTGGAACTTTAATTTCTTAGATCCTAATGGTGTTTTAAGTTTAACCCTTCAGGGCCAGTACCACACATGGGAAGTTCCAGTTTTACCTGTTCTGTTAATAAAGACTGTAACATTATTTAAGTACCACCTTTTCTGGTTACTCAGTGATGGACTGCAAACATGTCTTGTCTTTTTAAGAATATTCTGTTCAACTTCTAATGATCCAAAGACAGAATTTTTTCTCACCAGATTATAAACTTACACAATTGAAAGAATAAAAAGGATTGAGCCTGGGTTTTCCAGTTTTATTTGTAATGAGACTTTTGCCAGTTTTTCTTTACAAAACCTATGCCTCGTCATAAAAAAGTGAACTTCATCTACTTTGTGTCCTCATCAAAATGTATGATGATGGGATCGTGCCCTGTCGATCTCACAAACCTCAAGAAGTCATCAGGGCTCAAACCCATGGTTGCACAGTTTGTCATTGGGTGGAAATACAGCTTCTCGTGGCCACCCTCCAGGAAGGCAGCGTCCAGCACCAGCCTCACCTCCCCCTGGTCACAGAAGAGCGCCAACGGTGTGGCACAGCCCTGGCCCACCTTCAGCTTTTCCAGCATGGAGTTTTCATCAGCAAACCTCAGGTTCCCACTTCCAAGGCCCAGTTTTCTCGCGAGGTCAGTTAAATTGATCTGCCTGTTGTGCAGGAGAGTCACCAGCCAGAAGCCTTTCTTCTTCTTGTCTTTAAGGAAAAGGTTTTTACTGTGACCTCCTTTCATGTGTTGGACATGAGGCATCATTTCTTCAACAGTGAACACCTGGAAAATGCCATCAGTGCAGTGTAAGACACTGTATCCTGTTAGACTTTTGGTTGTGTACTGGCAGTATCTTTTGTTAAATACTTAGAAAATGACTGAATGTTACACTCAGCCTAAAAACTGTACCCTTTTATGAAGGAGTTTTAACAGAACACAAATAAAATGTGACATACTTCTCCTGCTCACTTCCTGATTCATTTCCGTCTCGTATACAGCAAGAATTACACTTTAAAGATACAGACAGGCAGCGCAGACAGCATGGCTTTTCCAGGCAGACGGGGGTGACGTGGCATGCGTGCTTTTAAATGGGAGTGAGAAACACTTTGGAAAGCTTTAGATGCCCTCAACTTCTAAGTGAAGAAGTGGGTGAGCTGCAGCTCCTGAAACTGGAGGGGGAAAAGGGGATGTGGGCAACAGAAATGCAGAGAGGGATCAACCCAGCCCCCCCAAAAAACATTCTGCCAAGCCAATGGCTGCAAGTCCAGTAGGTCAGAAATTCCGTATCGATTCTTAATTATGCTGCCAAATCATCTACAGAGCATAAAGCTGCCCTGCAGCTCGCTCTGCCCTCTTTGTGTGTGTAACTGTATTCCCCTAATTAAGAAAGATGCGGAGGACGCCGAGAGAGGCGCGCTCGGAGGGGGCAGAGCAGCGGCCCTGACGCGGTCCCTACCTCGGGGTGCTCGGCGGTGACCGTGGCGATGCCCAAGTCCCGCAGCCGCTGCTCCAACGCCTCCCGCAGCTCCGGCGCCGCCGCCATCGCCGCCCCGCTCAGGCGGGGCCGGGCCGCGCTTCCGCCCCTTCCGCCGGGCAGCGCCCGCCTTCCGCGCTGTTAACGGGGCGGCGGCCTTCCCTGCCTCTCGCACGGGGATCGGGATCGGAGCCGGGTCCCTCGGCTTGCAGGAACCGGAGTTGGGTCCCTCGGCTTGCGCTCCGTTGCGGGGATCGGCGGCGGCGGTAAGCCCTCGGCAGCGCAGTCGGTCAGATGGGAAGTGCGGTCTGGGCCATCCGGTTGAAATGGAAGCAGGGCAGTTTGGAGCTGGTAAGACTGGATCAGAATGTGCGGTCTCCAGCTGTGGAGACACTCAAAACCCATGGGGACGTGATCCTGGTCAGTCTGGGATCCGACCTTGCTCAAGCCAGGGTTTGAGAGCATATCCAGAGGTGTATTCCCAACTCCACTGCTCTGTGATCCCACCACACAGGAGACCAGAATCTGTCTGTCCCTCCTGTCATACAGCTCCAGGAGCTTCGTGCCATCCCCCTTCGGCCCCTCCTGGCTGGAAAGCAGTTATCCATAACACTCTTCCATACATCTCCACATACCTCCCCTCCCATGCAGCTCAATACATTCCGTGTTTCCTAAGACATTCTGTGTCTTTGTCACACAGTGGCATTAGAACAATATGTTTGACACACACTAGGTCACTAGGTTTCCCCATCCAACATGAACTGTATTTGGTTCAAACACCGGTTTCAGAACAGGTATTCATTGTATATATACTCACCTGCCTGTGCTCACTGTAATTTCAGGTGCCAGCTTAGTTTTGCTGAAACGTTGCTGCTAAAGCAGGAAGTTTAGGAAAGAATCAAAGCTAGAAAAAAACAAAATAAACGCTAGCCAATGAGACACATTGAAAAGGAGAACTGCAGAATCATATGTTTGTGGTTTTTTAAAGGCAGCCAGTAAAAACGAAGAGCTGCCACTAAGGGACAAAGGGAAGCACTAATGGCCACAGTTAAGTGGAAACTATTTCTACAACCCAAACCATGGTCCTGACTTGTGACATTAGAAATTGTTTGTTTTCAGTTTGCCTGCAGGCGATCTGTAATGAAGCTTTAAATTAGAACAGCATGAATCTGTGGTTAAGAGACACGTGGATACAGTATGACCCACGCTAATTCTCAGAGCCTTAGAGTAGCACGCAAAGACTTTCAGGCAGCCCCCAGTGGAAGATCAACCCAAAAAGCAGATTTTCAGCAAGCTCTGGTGACTGTTTTGTCTGATAAATTTACCTTTTAAATAGAGTTTCCCAGGTGTATCCCAGGCTCATGTGAAGGACACACTGCCCTCAGGATGAGAGCTGGCAGCTCTGTGGGTCATAGAATCATAGATTAGTTAGGGTTGGAAAGGACCTTAAGATCATCCAGTTCCAACCCCCCTGCCATGGGCAGGGACACCTCACACTAAACCATCTCACCCAAGGCTCTGTCCAACCTGGCCTTGAACACCACCAGGGATGGAGCATTCACAACCTCCCTGGGCAACCCATTCCAGTGCCTCACCACCCTAACAGGAAAGAACTTCCTCCTTAGATCCAATCTAAACTTCCCCTGTTTAAGTTTGAACCCGTTACCCCTTGTCCTATCACTACAGTCCCTAATGAAGAGTCCCTCCCCAGCATCCCTATAGGCCCCTTCAGATACTGGAAGCTGCTCTGAGGTCTCCACACAGCTTCTCCAGGCTGAACAGCCCCAACCTTCTCAGCCCATCTTCATACAGGAGGTGCTCCAACCCCTGATCATCCTTGTGGCCTCCTCTGGACTTGTTCCAACAGTTCCATGTCCTTTTTATGTTGAGGACACCAGAACTGCACACAATGCTCCAAGTGAGGTCTCACCAGAGCAGAGCAGAGGGGCAGGATCACCTCCTTCGACCTGCTGGTCACGCTCCTTTGGATGCAGCCCAGGATACGGTTGCTTTCTGGGCTGTGAGCGCACACTGAAGCCGGCTCATGTTCATTTTCTCACTGACCAACACCCCCAAGTCCTTCTCCACAGGGCTGCTCTGAATCTCTTCTGTAAAAATCCATGTGCATGACCCATGTTTGAGTCCATGTGCTTGTGCGGTCTTTGTGCCCAATTCACGTCCCTGTGCAGGAACACAGACTGCACTGAACACCTTTGTACAACCTTTGGTGTTTAAGTCTGAGGGGTTTTTAACTGCTTTATTTTTTAGATGTTTTTTTCCCATTTTACCTTTGGAGAAACACTCGAGGGCCCTGTGCATTGTCAAGGTATCAGTCCCTGACAGATTCATCTGCAGGTGGTCTCTTTGAAATACAGAACAAGGTTTTTGGTCAATACCCTGCATCATAAATGAGCAAATACTCACCATAGTGAGATACTGAGGGCCGAACAACACGTAGATGCCACCTATTCTTGTGTGGAAAACCACCTATGTGAGCTACTGTCAGTCCCACATTAAGGGCAAAGTGTGTAAAATGAACAGCTCAAACATATATAAAGTTACGGTTATTACTCGTAACACACAATTTGCAACCACTTCATGGGAGATCATTGTTCAAGCAGTGCTGTCCCAAGGCTGAAGGTTGTTATAGAGGTAATTTGGGATTATCTCCGGGTTTTACAAACAACATTGATGGAATAATGGAATAGTAAGGATTTTACGAAAAAAACATTTACAGAGCTTCCTCTTAGGTATCTTTTTCCCCTAGTCTGTTAGGTGATATTATTTTAGAGATGCCAAATTAGAACTTTAAACACAATCAGCCATGTTAAAGCTTTGGAGGTGGCGTGGGAGGACACAGAACCGCAGACCGGTTTGTGTTGAAAGGACCTTAAAGCTCCTCCAGCTCCAACCCCCTACCAGAGGCAGGGACCCCTTCCACTAGAGCAGCTTGCTCCAAGCCCCTGTGTCCAACCTGCCCTTGAACACTGCCAGGGATGGGGCAGCCACAGCTTCTCTGGGCACCCTGTGCCAGCGCCTCAGTACCCTCACAGGGAAGAGCTTCTGCCTGAGAGCTCATCTCAGTCTCCCCTCTGTCAGGTTCAAGCCATTCCCCTTGGCCTGTCCCTACATCCCTTGTCCCAAGCCCCTCTCCAGCTTTCCTGCAGCCCCTTTAGGCACTGGAGCTGCTCTCAGGTCTCCCCTTCAAGAGCCTTCTCTTCTCCAGGCTGCCCCAGCCCAGCTCTCTCAGCCTGGCTCCAGAGCAGAGCTGCTCCAGTAGCTCTGTGGCCTCCTCTGGGCTTGCTCCATCAGCTCCACGTCCCTCTCCTGTTGTTGGACATTGCAAAGAAAAAATAACATCTCCCCCCAGGCAGAAGAACCCCAAATTTAAGCATGCGTGTGTGTATGTAAATACAGAGCCGCAGGACGCGGAAACACCTCAAACACCATCCAGCCTTCCCAACAACGCCACACTTCCCTCCGTCCTGTCAGGCGTTTTCCCGCCTTCCCTGAGGAGAGGCACCGCGCACCGGCAGTCGCCTCTGCGCATGCGCAAAAACCGTCGCGCCGCCGGGCGCCTGCGCAGTAGAGCGGCTGAGGCCGGCGTCCTGCAGTGGGGTGAGGAGGGGAGGGTGGTTCTGGGGGCTCCCCTGGCGGGATGGGGTGCGGGCTGGCCCCGGGGCCGGAGCCCAGGGGAAGGGGATGAGGGGGGCCGTGACTGCGGGGAAGGCTGCAGCTGCCGGGTCTGCGGTGCCGTCCCCCTGGCAGCGGGGTGAGGGTGTTGTGAGGCGGCTGCTCGCGCCTTGCCCTCAGGGTCTGAGGAGCCGGGTGGCTTCTGTGCAGTGCCAGCCAAACCGATGAGCGGAGCTGCTGTCGGACAGCGCCCGTCCCGGCACTGCTGACCCTGAGAGCCGGGAGTGGTTTCCTTGCTGTTAGCAACCTCCCGTGGGGTTCTGCTCCGTGAGCTTCTCCTGTCTCATCCCGAGCTTGTGTTAGTTTTCTGTGTATGCAGTCTTGTGGTGTTCCTTGGCTTTACCGGTTCTGTCCCTTTAAAGTTCTCATTAGGGAGAAAAAACCCACCCAAGCAGTTCGGTTTGGTCGGTTTTTGTTGGTTAGTTGTCATCTTCTCACTTCTGCAGGTATCTGGATACAGGAGGGTTGATGAAGTGACTGCAGTTGTTTTGGGAGGACCCGATAGCATTTCACTCATTCGGAGCTGCTTGGAAGACCATACAAAGCCACCTCTGAGGGAAGAGATAGAGGGTGCAGAGCATGGCATCGCTGAGCACAGGGACTTAAATAGCTCTGAACAGGAAAAGAAGTTCAAATAGGAGACTGTTGTATAGGGTAGTTCACAAAATGACCCAAGCCAACGTTAAGATGGGTAAAACAAGAGGTGGGATGATCTGACAGAAGCATCTTGGAAAGCTTAGTTGCCGAGGCAGGGCTTAGCCTCAAAGGACATCTTTGTCCATGTGACAGCACTTTTGTTCCTACAGAGCTACAGAGTTGTAGTGGTTGTTACGCTCTTGTAAGAAGCATACTGCAGATGTGGCTTACAGAGAGGTTTGTTGCACCTGGGTACTACTGGTATAGAACAAGGCATGCAAATGTCTCTTTTTTTCTAGGTAATGTCAACCCAAAATGTAATAGTTTATATTAAAGATCAGTGGAGGAAGGCGTAAGATTTGTAAGCTGTGGCAATATTAGTAGATCTGTGTGTCCACAGTGGAATAGTGGAGGGAAGTGAAGCACTGAAGGGAACTGAAAAAACTGGAGCAGTTACTGAACAGATCAACTTTTTCAGCATTAAAAGGCCTGTTTTGAAACCCAACACTCGTGCCTTGTGTTCCTGCCTGTATTATCACAGGGAAGAGTATCTTTCAGCTTTGAGTTTGATTTCAATGTGTCCTTTGTATTTGCAGTGAGGAAATGAATCGGGGGTTGATACTGAAGTTTGAGAATCTGTTGCAGTTACGTGGTGCTTGTCGGCAGCTGCGGACTCTGTCCTACAGAAAAGTTTCCAGGGCACAATGGAAGCCTGTGCAGTCATCTGCACATCCCGTGGGATCTGTCCTTCTGTATCCACACTTCTGGCAAGAAGACAAATCAATCAGTATCGCC